AGTTCTGTTTGAAGTCAAATCAGTGTGTGATGAGCATGAATCCTGTTGAATCTCACCATTTCTTGTTCAGTAATGCACAGAAATTAAAATATGGCTGTTACAGAATATTATCTATCATTTAATTTCCAGTAAAACTAGTCTACCTTTTAATTAACTGATAAAAATGCATTATGCTTGTTGCATTTTAAAAAATCTAAAAGTCAAATGCTGACAAGTAGAGATCACAAGATTACCAGAATGGGGAAAATGCAGACAAATCCATCAACCTGTTATCAATATAAAAAGAATGGCGTGAAAACGGCCAAAAGCAAAACTAAACCAACACAACAAGCAGCAGGTTTGTTCCAACATTCCAGAAAGTTCTGAGGAGATCCAAGTGGGCTGTGATTTCCAGCTACAGTGTCATAAGATCCACACCAGTGGTCACCAGCCCTCCTCCTGGAGATCTACATTCCTGCAAGCAACATCTAACACGCTGCACCCTCCCTTAACAAACACTACCCTGCTGAAAAAACACCACTAGATAGGATTAAAAGCAGATGGTTTCCTTTTCTAATTTAAAATTGGCTCAGTGGTTCCTGTAGAATACCTTTAGATCCCATTGGGAAAACATCTGGAATCAGTCCTAGAACACCTGTTATACCATTAAAGTCCTTTACACTGTGATATCAACCCATCAAGAAATCACAGTGACTATTGTCCACGAGCAGGAACCAACAGAAGCTTTTAATGGTTTGTGTGATTTTTTCAGCAGGGAAATCTGATCCAACCAATCAAGAACTCCTGAAGAAGTTAATGAGCTGGAGCAGGTGTGGTGGGTTGTGGTTGGAGCTAAACTATGGAGGATGAAGGGGGATCTCCAGGATCACTGATCAACTGCACCAGTCAAAATGGTCTTTCTTTATTTTATTATTTTCTACATTGTAGATTAATACTGAAGGCATCAAAACTAAGAAGGAACACATTTGGAATAATGTAGTAAACAAAAAAATGTTAAACACAGCAGAATATTATTTATACTTTAGATTCTTCAAAGTAGCCACCTTTTGCTTTGATGACAGCTTTGCACACTCTTGGCATTCCCTCAGTCAGCTTCATGAGGTGCTCACATGGAATGGTTTTAATTAGCAGGTGTTAATTAATTAATTAAATTAATTAACAGGTATGCCTTGTCAAGTGTTCATTTGTGGAATTGCTCGTGTTTGAGGCCATCAGTTGTGCTGTGTGGAAGTAGAGTTGGTTCCTTCATAGTTTTGAATGTTAATCTACAATGTAGAAAATAATAAAAATAAAAAAAACATTAAATGAGAAGGTGTGTCCAAACGTTTGACTGGTATTGTATGCATTTGATTTGACTTAGATCTTTATAGTCCCTCACACTGTGATATCAACCCATCAGAAAAACACTAAATACCATTACTGACTACTGGATACAATCAGGAACCAACAGAGACTTTTAATGGTTTCTATGATCAACAGGGATTCAAAGCCTTTATTGCTTTATAAACTAATAGTATACATTTAAATCACTAGAGGAGAAATATTAGGACAGAGTAGATTTAGAGCTGCTGTTCATGCTTTTGACCAGCAGGTGGCACTAATGCGCCGCTGATTTATGAAGCTTCGAGTAATGAAGCCATTTCCCGTACAAGTTAAAGAACCTCTACAAAGCTGCGTTGTGACTCGTTTGGCGACTTTAGATTTTTTAGATTGTTTTTACTAAAATTACTAAAATTACTAAAATTAATTATGAAAATGGTTTGAAAGACACTACGGAGTAATTGTGTCTCCCCTAACACCCCCTGTATTATTATTATTATTATTATTATTATTATTATTATGTTGTTGTTGTTTTATTTTATTTTATTTTATTTTATTTTTTTATTTGATATGGTCACTTGAATTTACCAACTGCATAGGGTTGGAATTAAGTAAATAAGTGTACACTGCATTGCCATTACTGTTTGTACATTGATTGCATAAATAAAAGAAAGAAAGATATATATATATATATATATATAATTATTATATAATAAATATTGATCATTTTTATCAATAGTTTAATCAACTTAGCTGCTTTTTTTACAATACATATATTCAAATGAGGAGACACAGTTATAAAAATACAAATTTCATGTCGCTTCTGCAGTAAAGTTAGTTGTCTATGCTGGAAGTGAGTTAACCGGAAGAAGGCGCGTGTAAGATCCGGTCTGCCCAGCAGTCCGCGGTTCCGCTGCCAGTACGGGCTGAAGAACCGAGTCAGGCGCCGCTCCGCTCAGCCGGTGAAGGTAATCAGCTCTGAAACACCGCTCACCCCTTTATTCACACTCTGTTTTCCGACTGACCCTCAGAGGGGCCGGGTCAGAGGCGGGCTCTGTCTGGACAGCAGTTTGATAAACATGTAAACAAACCCGGAGCGCCGCCGCTCCGCGCTGGGCTGAGGGGGCTCGCAGTAATGTTAATGTCCGGCTAATGTCCGGTTAATGTCAGGGTTAACGCTCTTCAGCGGTGGACGGAGTACTCAAACCATGTACCTGAGTTAAAGTAGAGACACCAAGGTAAATATCACTCCAGTAAAAGTAGAAGTTCCTCCCTTTAGACCTCCACTTGAGTAAAAGTACTAAAGTATTTGCCTTCAAATGTACTTAAGTATCAAAAGTGAAAGTACTGCGCTTAATTATGACTTTAATGTCCTGTTATCATTTTTGTCATGAGACTGTACTAAGAATTTTAGGTGAAAATACTCCAGTGTCTCTCTTGGTAAACCAGTCTTTTAATAGAGTCATTAATTAGTGATGCTGATGTCTATTAAAATGATCATAAGCACAAAACACTGAAGGCAAACAGTTTCCATCAGGTAGAACTGAGTGGCTCTGAAATCACTTTATACAAACAAGCAAAGTTTCAGTTGAAGATTTATTTACAAGTTTATGTTTAATAAAAACTTTAAACTCAGGTTCACAAATGAGTTTCCTTTACTAAACTGCATCTGTAGGTCTCTTTTCATAAACATAAACTAGAGAAAACTAATCTACTATAAAATGAAAGTGTTTGTATAAATTCAGAAAAAAGACACGTCAGTCACAACTGCATATGTGTGCATATTTCTATATCGTGGTCTATTTACACAAAGTTAGGTTAGTTCATCATTTATGTTGAATAGACTCTCCCAAAATTTTACACTGCTGCACTGATGTTGAACCGTGTGCTGCACTGGGTCGGTATGACCAACAGGTCAAAACAGCTCAAAACAAAGTGAGCGCTTTGCGCTTCTTTCGTTTAGACATGTTCTTCAAAAAGATGGTTCTTTAGCAAAGGGAGTGGTTCTATTTAGAAACATTCATTTTTTTCAAATGAATCATCTTAAATCTCAAATATCCTTTAATTTTAGCTGAAAAAGGAATCTCTCCTAAAAACACATTAGAGCCCAGTGTAGAGTCCTTTCCATTTTAACAGTGCAGTCTTAAAAAAGATGTTTCTTTAGGGGTTCTTTAGTAGAGTCAGTTGTTCTGTTTAGAGCCATAAGTTCTATATAGAACCATTTGCATACTTAAATAGTTCTCTGCATTGTGAATGGTTCTTCAGATTGGTGGAGAATGTGTTGTGTACGGTTCTACATAGTCTACCCTTTTGAAAATGGTTCTATAAAACACCAAAAAGGATTTTTCTTTTTTTTTTTTACAAGCTTGACATCATACAGCAAATGACAACTACAGCAGAACCCTTTATGGTGCAAGGTGGGAGTGTCTAATAGAGTGGACAGTGAGTGGACACAGTGTTTAAAAACTCCAGCAGCACTGCTGTGTCTGATCCACTCAGACCAGCACAACACACACTAACACACCACCACCATGTCAGTGTTACTGCAGTGCTGAGAATGATCCACCACCCAAATGGTACCTGCTCTGTGAGGGTCCATGGGGGTCCTGACCACTGAAGAACAGGGTAAAAGGGGGCTAACAAAGTATGCAGAGAAACAGATGGACTACAGTCTGTAACTGTAGAACTACAAAGTGCACCTATATAGTAAGTGGAGCTGATAAAATGGACATTGAGTGTAGAAACCAGGAGGTGGTCATAATGTTTATTTCCATATTTATTTTATTGGATTTAATCTGTTGACACTTTCTACATCTGGTAGTTGGGGAATAAACTTCTTAAAACAAGGGAAAAGCAGGTCACCCTAAAAGACTTTGCAGTCCAGTGTGTAGCTATCTGCTTATTTGATGATGCATGCAGACCGTCTTGTCTTAACAATCCAACATACCATGAAAAAGGATGGTGTGCTTCAATAATATATTGATATCACTTCTGCAGGAGGTGTTTGGAGCAGAAATAAACACAGGCCTTTGAGAAAATTGTCAGTTAAATAAACCTTCAGTGCCTGAGAACCCTCTCAAACCTTGTTAAGTCTTAGTTTATGTATGTCAATTCTGATTGTTTTCTTTGATTCTGGTGCTTTACTTGGGTTTTGACCTGTTATCTTGGTTTGCTATCAATACCAAGTCAGAAACACTTTTAATCAAGGGAATATTAAGCTAATAAGCCATTTATGTGCACATGGATCAAATCAAATCACGTTTATTGTTGCATCACCTTTACACAGGTGTGAAGATGAGTGAAAATCTTCTTGCCAATGTACAGTTTCTGTACAGTAACATAGTTATGAAATAAAAACTTTGATATGTACAGTTATACACATGTCCATATATGCAATTTGTGAGTCTGAAGTAGGTGATATGGAGAATAATGAGATGCCGGACACACAGGGATAAAATATTGATATATAGCTCAATTGACTGAAGCTCTTCTCCCTTCTTCTTCTCTTCTTGGACAATTTGTTGTATTTTACATTAATAATTGATGTCTGTCCTTTTCTTTTGTCTTCCCCAGACGTTTTCTGCTGCTTCAAGTGTTCATTTCTGTGCACAGCTCAACTTTAACATCACAAGATGTCATGAAGTGACTGCTGAAACTAGGAAAGTAACACAGCGAATATGGCTTCCAGACGAAGCGCCAGCCCACAGCAAACATCCTCTGGTGCGTCTCGCAGACGGCTGCCGAAGAGCAAGGAGAAGGAGATGATCCATCAGTGCTCCGACTGCGGGAAGAGCTTTCATCTGGAGAGTCGGCTCAAAATGCACATGCGCATTCACACCCGAGAGAGGCTTTTTTACTGCCTAGACTGCGGGAAGGGGTTCAATCGACAGAACAATCTCCAGAGGCACCGGCGCATCCACACGGGAGAGAAGCCGTTCCGCTGCTCGCACTGCGAGAAGAGCTTCAGTCGGCTGAGCTACCTCCAACAGCACCAGCGCATCCACACGGGAGAGAAGCCGTTCTACTGCTCGGAGTGCGGGAAGAGCTTCAATCATCAGGGTAACCTCATCCAGCACCAGCTCATCCACGTCGGAGAGAAACTGTACCACTGCTCGGACTGCGGGGTGAGTTTTTATCACCAGAGCAACCTCACCAAGCACCTGCGCATCCACACGGGAGAGAAGCCGTATTACTGCTCCGACTGCGGGAAGTGTTTCAACCAGCAGAGCACTCTCCTGACGCACCGGCGCATTCACACCGGAGAGAAACCCTACGAGTGCCCGGACTGCGGGAAGAGCTTCAACCACAAGAGCAACCTCCAGAGACACCAGGTCATTCACACGGGAGAGAAGCCGTACGAGTGCCCGGACTGCGGGAAGTGTTTCAGCCGGCAGAGCAGCCTCCAGCTGCACCAGCGCATCCACACCGGAGACAAACTGTTCGAGTGCGCAGACTGCGGGAAGAGCTTCAATCAGCTGACTAACTTCCTAAGACACCAGCGCATTCACACTGGAGAGAAACCGTATTACTGCTCAGAGTGCGGGAACAGTTTTAATCAGCTCAGTAGCTTCCAGATACACCAGCGCACTCACACGGGGGAGAAACCGTATTGTTGCTTGGATTGTGGGAAGAGCTTCATTCAGCAAAGTAACCTCCAAGCACATCAGCGCATTCACAGAGAGGAGAAATACACTGCTTTGTTTCTAGGTGGAGCTTCAAACGTGTGATCATGTTACAGAAAAGAGTCAGAAAGCTGTTTATTTGATCAGCTCTAGTCCTGAGTTTTCTTTAGCGCTGTTTTTGTGTTGAGTTAAATGGCTAATTCTGCTAAAAATCACAAACGTCGTCGATCAGCCAAGACGTTTTTACTGCTTGAGGTTTGACACTATAGTTTTCCACTGGAGATAACACGGAGGACAGTGTGGCTACTAACTAATAGCTTATACGCTTATACACCTTTACCATCATGTTAACTGGCCTAAATTATCATCTGTTCATGCCAGCCATAAATGTGTACTGCACAAGCCTTTTAATTGGTTGTTTAATAGCCTCTCTTTCCCAGATTACCACTGCTGTCAAAATTCTGCCAGCCCTATGATATTTACTAAGTGATATACGGTTCCTGTACTGGCTTTATTAATGCTTGTGGCAGTTGTATTCAGAGTGGTTTGGTGTGAAATGGTTCAGATGTCTTTACAGTGGTGGTGATAGGAACCAGGGGTCGCCATGACTACAACACAAATATAGACATTTTATTTACTATCCAGAACCACCAGTGAACCTACACGAGTCTTCTGAGTTTATATGGAGTGTTGGTGATGGAAAATAGTGGAAAATCTGAAATAATAAGTTTTCTTTGGGGACTATTTTGCCTCACAGCGCCCTGCATGTATCCCTCCACCATGAATGGATTTACAATCTTCTCTAAACTATCGTAAAACAACGAGAGCGTTTACATTTGTTTAAAACCCTGATAATTGAAGAAAATCAGATTCTGTCAGTAAGCCGATCAACGCGTTTACATGCACTTGAGTAATCAGGTAATGGGAAACTCAGGTCTACATGAGTCAGACAGTGATCAGATTTCTGCTTTATAACCAGCCAATAAACTTACAGACGAAGACGAGACGGAAACGTAATGTAAAACTCAAACATCATGCCGCTTTTAAACATCGAGTCACTTTACCTGAAAATAAGAGGAAGAAAATGTAAATCCTTAATTTCATCAAGCATGTATTTAGTTTCAGCATCGCTCCAAAAGTGTTTTGCTGCGTCTCGCAGCGACGCTGCTCACTTATTTCTGGTAACACCATCTGATTTCACACATGCGCAGACTGAGAAATCTGAAAGAAATAAGAGTTTACAGCACTGAGAAATCTGATCACTGAGCTAAAATCCAGCCTCTTTATCAGATTTATTAATCGGATCTAAGAAATTAGAGTGTGTTGTTTACACGACCATTTGAACAATCAGACTGCAGAAGTCTGATTATGATCAGATTATTGAGTGCATGTAAATGCATTCAGTGTCTCAGTCATCAGGCAGTGAATTCATAACCATTTCATGTAGTAACTTTCTGTGAGGGAGCTTTTAGAGGTAGACGTCTGGTTCCTATCACCACCACTGTGAACAGTTCTGACTCGGTAAGTTTCTCTAGAACAGAGCGTTTCACATTAAACCACTCTGAATGACTCCGTTTACAGCTTAACCATTTGACTATGCAGAAATTTTGAAAAATTGGTGGACTCCCCCTTTAAACACTAACATTTTATGCTTGTAACAGAGCATAAAGTACAAATGTTCACTTTTAAAGGCTGCCCTGCATGCAGTGCTATTACCTTTGGTGAACTACACTATAAGAAAGTGGCAAGAGGCAACGTTGGGGAATATCTGTTCTCCATATATGAAAACATTGAGCAGATGAGATGCAGCAGACAAAAATAAATAAATAAATAAAATTAAAAGTGCACAGATGGATCACGGAGGGGTCTTGGTTCCTCTGTCCTTTAGCCCTCAGACTGTACAAATGCTTATGGGTTCCACAAGCTGCATCACTCTTGATCGCCCCCACTTATGTAAACAAGCAACTCAGCATTTTAGATTTATACAGTTTACACACTACAAGTACAAAAATCAGAATTAAAAAACAAATAGGAACTTAACTGTGGAATTTTGCGTGGTTGCATGCTTGATTCTTTTTTTCACGGAAACCTATGATATGACCAGGTGTGCACCAGGTAAGGTGGTGTGGAATAACCCAAATCAGAAACAGTGGAGTGGAGCTGGTTGTTAGACTAGCACTAGCTTAGCTGTCGGACTAACAGCTTATTGTAACACAGACAAGTTGATTCCTGGCACTTCAGTAGTCACTCGACCTGCTCAGTCTGATTTATGCTGTGCTGCCCTGCACATTTAATACTTTTCCTGCTTTTAATGCGCCCACTTTAACGCAACACTGGCCTGTTAATGAGTGATTAGTTGGATCAGGTGTGTTGGGAGCTGGGAAAACACTAAAAGTGCAGGGCAGTGAGTTTCCAGGACCAGGGCTGAGAAACACTGCTCTAGTCCAGTGGTCACCAACCCTCCTCCTGGAGATCTACCTTCCTGCAGGGTTTAGTTCCAGCAGAAGATGGTAATTAGCTGAAGCAGGTGTGGCAGATTGAACTACACTTAGTCAGACTCCAGTCCTAATGGACCAAATCACTGCAGACTTCATCACATTGCCTCATTAAACACACCTGACTCGGCTCATCAGCTCATTAGCAAAGCCTTCATGAACTGAATTCAGGGCTTATCTCCACAACACTTTGGCCCAGTAGGTCCCCAGTTTGACATGCCTGCAGGAAGGTAGGTCTCCATGAGGAGGGTTGGTGTCCACTGGTCCACCCTGGTCTTGGAGCCTACACTTTTTAGCATTTTCTCTATTCCCAACACACCTGATCTGTTTATTCAGCTCATCAACAGCCCAGTATTGAGCTAAAGTGGTGTGTTAAAGCAGGAAAAGTGATCAAATGTGCTGGGCCTCCAGGACCAGGCTTGAGAAACACTGCTCTAGACTTCTCTCAAAGCAGTAGTTAGCTGGAATTGAACCTGCCTTGTGGGATGTGAAGCTGTTCGCTAAGCTAGAACTAGCACTTAGTGCTAACTATGATACCATCCACACACCACAGCATAGGGTCGCTCCCTCAGATTAGCATCTTTGCCTTCTCAGCTTGTGCCAGTGGGGCTAAAATCAAACCTGTTGTGATGTGTGTGGAGCTGTTAGCCTGCCAGAGAAGCTACCACTAGCAGCTAGTGCTAACTTGGACATTAGAGTGCTAGCTTAGCCATCAAGCTAACAGCTCCTCACAACATATTTGAGTTTATTAGCTAGATATGAATTAGAAATGACTGTTTATCTGTTATAACTGATGGCTATCAGAGAGCAGCATGTTGTGTAGCTATAAGGGTCTTCTTTACAACCATGTTGTAATCCTCTTATTTGCAGGTTCCTTGTAACTATATGCAGTAGTTACAAGGAGTTGAACCTGCCATGTGGATCGCGAAGCTGTTAGCCTACTAGCTAAGCTAGAGCTAGCACTTACTGCTAACTGTGACAGCTCTACCCACCACAGCACTGGGTCTCTCCCTCAGATTAGCATCTTTGTCTTCTCAACTTGTGCCAGTGGTGCATTTGTTTGGCAAAATCATGCCTGTTGTTTTGTGTGTGTGTGTGTGTGGTGCTGTTAGCCTGCTAGAGAAGTTACCGCTATCAGCTAGTGCTAACTTGGACATTAGAGTGCTAGCTTAGCCAGCTCTTCACACCATGTTTGAGTTTATTAGCTCGATAAGGAATAGAAATCATACAGTCTATGTATTCTGACTGGCTGCTGTTGGAGTGCAGCATGTTCTGTAGCTGTAAATCTTTTATTTTTTTAAATATTTTAGTGTATTGACAGGTTCAAGTTTATTCAAGAGTGTAATTCACACTTATCAACAGCCTGGTGAGGTCTAAGCTTCTATTGCTTGTTAGCTACTTCAGCCTCATGCAAACCAAAGCAAACGTCACCCAAGATCTCTCTGCTGATCGACTACATTTGAGAGATTTTATTCCTTTTTCACTGGACTGTCACCTAAACGCTTTTACTGAAGACCGTTGTTGATATTGTGAGGAAGACTAACGGTATGCCTTTATGACTATGATATGAATGCGCAATGAAATGTCTTTAACAATCTGGTAAGAAAAAGAATGTACCCCACTGTACACGCCAGCAGTGAAGTATCCTGTGGGCACCTCTTAACTGTTATTCTGCCACTTTTCCTCCAGATGTGAGGTGAGGTACACTTTTAAAGATACTTCTTCAAAGTTCTTTAGTAAAGACAAAGGTTCTATATAGAACCAAGAACACAAATCATTTGCATGCTTAAATGGCTCTTTATATTGTGAAACGGTTCTTCAGATTGATGGAGAATGTGTTGTATATGGCTGCTGTTATGACTTCAAGCTTGTAGCAACAGAAGAACCCTTTTTGGTGCTATGCAGAACCATACATGGATTCTCCATCAATCTGAAGAACCATCTCACCATGCAAAGAACCATTTAAGCATGCAAATGGTTCAAGTGTTTGTGTTTTCTATATAGACTCATTGGGCCTCATTCACCAACCGTTATAATGAAAATTTCTTCTTAAAATCCACTTATGCAGTTTTGATAGACTCTGACATTCACCAGTGTTCTCTTATTTGGGGTTTGTTCTTAGGTAAGGACAGAATCTACACACACACTCAAGAGCACAAAGGTGAGAACAGTTCTGTGCTTTAAGAACACGTAAACCTTTTCTTAGAACCTTTCTCAAGAACATGCTGGAGGTTAGGGAACCAGCCCTGTGACCGGAAGGTCGCTGGTTCGATCCCCTGAGCTGACAGTACGTGACTGAGGTGCCCTTGAGCAAAACACCTAACCCACAACTGCTCCCTGGGTGCTGCGGATAGGGCTGCCCACCGCTCTGGGCAAGTGTGCTCACTGCCCCCTAGTGTGTGGGTTCACTAGTGTGTATGTGGTGTTTCACTGCACAGATGGGTTAAATGAGGAGGTGAAATCTCTCTGTTGTGGGACTGATAAGGTCACTTTACTAAAACCATTTTTAATCTTATTTTTAAGCATGTTATATGTTTATTATGTCTACAGGAGATTTGGGATGTTGTGGGGGAAAGTCCTGGGTTATAGTAGCTGAAAGGATCGTCAGAAAGAGAAAGGAGTGAAACTGAGCTCCCAGAACAGAGATGAATCCTCAATGTTGGCACTTTTCCACCAGGTGGTGCCGTCATGTTACGTCCAGTTATGTCATTAATCTTTTAAGGTATTGTAATAATTTTTAAAACTAATTTAATTGATTTTGCTTTTATTCTCAGTGAATTATACATGTTTTTGGATCTCATGGCTGATTTAAAAGCTGTTAGCTTCATTCCTTCAGCACTAACTGTACAGCAGTGTTAAAGTACCTTACTTAATAATTAATAAACTATGAAGATATAACTCCTATGTGATTATACTCGTGTGAATAAACTGGGTTCTCTCCTTAAACGTATCCTTCTGGTTCTCTCTGTGTACCTGATGAAGTGAGTATCTTTCATCCTTTTCTTTTTCCAGTGCAGAAAATCCCCTTGTTCTGCAGCTTCCGGTGGGATTCTGAAGCTGGTCCTGTCAGATCTGGATAGTTTTAGGGTTGCCTTGGTTACATAAACACAACCCTCACGTCTCCTTGGATAATTTTGTTCCACAAAAGTCAGGAAAAGGGGTTCTGACGGCTGGATGTGACGTTCCCCAGCAGCTTTTTACCATCTCGGAGGGATAGAGATCTTAGGCCCTGTGTAGATTATAGGACAAAGAACGTCACAATGAAGGAACCTCGTCCTCTGCTGGCCATTGTGTGTAATACACACTTACAAATGATGGTTCTTCAAGGGTTTTAGTAAAGAAAATGGTTCTATGTAGAACCATGAACACTCAACCTTTTTGATTAAAGTGTTCTTCAGATTGTTGGATGTGCTTTTGGTATTATATAGAACCATCTAAAAGGGTTCTTCAATAGTGTCATGCTTGACATTGTAACAATAGAACAATTTTGGTGCTATATAGAACCATATCACATTTTAATTTACTACACTCTTTAAAAAGCTTTTTCAAGGGTTCTTTATTTAAGGGAATGGTTCGATATCCATGTGTTCTACATACAACCATTTCATGTTTAAACTGCTTTTTGAAAATGGTTCTTTGTAGCACCAAAAAGGGCTCTGCTATTGTTGCACTGTCAAGACTGTAACAACAGAAGAGTGCTTTTTGGTCCTACGTAGAACCCTTTTCAAAAAGGTGCTATGTCAAAATACAACACATTCTCCATCAATTTGAAGAACCATTTTACCATGAGAAGAACTAGTTACGCATGCAAATGTTTGAGTTTTGGTTCCGTTTAGAACCACTGTTTTAGTAAAGAACCTTTGCAGAACCATCTTTTTAAAGAGTGCATTGTTAAAATGAAAACTGAGCACTCAGTCTACACCGGGCTCTAATGGTTCTTTGCATGGTGAAAGCGCTCTTCAGATTGATGGAGAATGTGTTGTGTATGGTTCTATTAAGAACCTTTTTTAAAAAAAGTTCTATAGAGCAGTGAAAGGGGGACAAGCTGGATGTCATAACAATAGCGGAACACTTTGGTGCTAAATAGAACCACATACAACACATTCTCCATCAATCTGAAGAACCATTTCACCATGCAAAGAACCATTTAGGTATGAAATGGTTCTGTATAGAACTCATGGTTCTAAATAAACCATTCCCTTTACTAAAGAACCCTTGAAGAGCCATCTTTTTGAATATGTACTTAAATCCTTTAAACGAAGTTTAAGTAAAAAAAGTGTTCTCTTTCAGAGGCCATTGAAGAACATGAGCTTAATTATTTTAGGGAGAAATTGCTCATTTTAAAGATTTTATTATAAATATTTGGAACAGAAAACGCTAAAAATCCGCATAAAATGTGGTGGTTTAAAAAAAAATAATCAATAATAAAAATATATCAATATTGTATATGAAGTGTGCTGTGTCTGTGAGCAGGGAGGTGTTGGGGAAAACCCCAGAGCGAAGCAGGCCTTTTATTTTGACACCGGGTTGCCAGATGTATGGTAATTCTGTGTACTTTTATTGGCTCCCGAGCGAAACTCGGAGTTGATTGGTTCCTCAGCGGAGCTGTAGAGCACGGAACCAGAGAGCCTCTGCTGGAGAGCCTTGGCGGGGTTGTGGAGGTCCGCAGCCGGAGTCCACTGGCCTCTTTTCAACTGACTGCCCTCGCTGACCACCAGGGTGAGGCTCCAGCGAGCCCAGCAACAGAGTGGAACAGCAGGAGATCTGCTGTGGTCAGCGGTCCACGCCTCCTCCGCGCGCGCAGACTGGATGAGCACAAAGAGGAGCTCGGCTGCTGAAGGTAGGAGCTGATCAACACTGTAGACACTCACTGTTTTTATTGATTGTTGGACAGATGTTGGAGGGATGTTGGACAGATGTTTACTGTTTGACAACCAGCATACAGAATATGCAAGACAACACAGGGAAGCTGGCTCCCTCCAAACTGCTGACAGTGATGCTGAATGCCCTCCTACACCAAGGGTTCTTTAGTTTAGTAAAGGTAATGGTTCTATATAGAACCCTCAGAACCATTCGCATGCTTAAATGGTTCTATGGTGAAATAGTTCTGCAGATTGATGGAGAATGTCTTGAAACCTTTTGACAATGGTTCTATATAGCACCTAAAGGGTTCTTCGCCTGTTCGAAGCTTGACATCGTGATAATAGCAGAACCCATTTTGGTGCTGTGTAAAACCATTTACAACACGTTCTCCATTTCACCATGCAAAGAACCATTTCACCATGCAAAGAACCATTTAAGCATGCAAGAGGTTGTTCTTGGTTCTGTATAGAACCCTCGAGGAACCATCTTTTTAAAGAGTGTAGTTCGGTTTGGTTTGAGTTTTGTTTTGTTGATTCTGTGGCCTCATTAAAATCCCTCATAAAATCACATTAGAACCCCCAGTTTTCATTTTAACGATGCACTCTTAAAGATGGTTCTTCAATGGTTCTTTAGTAAAGACTTTGGTTCTATATAGAACCATGAACACCCAAAGAACCATCTGCATGATTACGTTCTTGAGCGCTGCATGACGAAGCGTTGTTCTTTTGTTGTTTCAAGCTTGGCATCGTAACAACAGCAGAACCTTTTTTCAAAAACTTTTTATATAGAACCATACACCGATCAGGCATAACACTATGACCACCTCCTTGTTTCTACACTCATTGTCCATTTTATCAGCTCCACTTACTATATATGTGACATTATGAATTACAAAATAAACTTTATATTTTCAGTTTTTCCTCTCAAAGTGTTAAATGCTGACCTTGCAACTGGCAACATGTTTAACAAAGAGCTGGGCAGTATGACTGTATTTATCATTATTGTGATAAATTATGTCACGCTGTGCTTATCATGGATATCTTCAGTACTTTAAAACACTTCCCAACTGCATGTCTGATTGCAGAGAGAGCACGATTAGTCCTGTTTAACTGGATTTAGTGCAGCGCAGTGTGTCCAATGATGAAAATAAATAATTGAATTTATAGTTTGTTGATAGTATTTTTAAATGTGGATTGGACTTTGTCTGTTCTAACTTATCAGATGCCTGAACACATCGCGCTGTATCATGTATCGTGAAAACGTCTTAAAGTATTGTGAAATTGCATTTTTGCCATATCACCCAGCTCTACAGAGTGGAGAGTCGATTCTGGCAAGAGTGTATTATAAACAATATTTCAATAGGGCTTTGTATAGCAAACAGCTTGGTTGGGTATCATTAGCTTATTAATTGTGCTATTTATTGGCGATTGCACAATGCTCGATTGAAAGACAGTTTCAAATACACTATTTCAGTGCAGGCCCTCGAGCATGAATTCACTGTTCTGACCTACACTCATCTGTTTGGTTCAGCCACCAAACTGCATGTCCTCACTTAAGGCTGGACTTCAAACTCTAATCCACAGCCACACTGACCTGCACTCCTATGTGTCGTTTTGTCATCCCTAGCAGCCGCCTAGCAACAATCAAGCATGCACTTGGGATACCCTAGCAACCACCTAGCAACACTCTAGCATGCACTTGGGAAACCATAGTAACTGCCTAGCAGCACCCTAGCAACCGCCTAGCAACACCCTAGCAACTACCTAGCAACCTAGCAACAATCTAGCATGTATTTGGGAAACCATAGCAACTGTCTAGCAACACCCTAGCAGCCGCCTAGCAACAATCTAGCACGCACTTGGGATACCCTAGCAACCGCCTAGCAACACCCTAGCAACCGCCTAGCAACACTCTAGCACGCACTTGGGATATCATAGCAACACCCTAGCAACCATCTAGCAACAATCTAGCACATGCTTGGGAAACCATAGCAACTGCCTAGCAACACTCTAGCGACCACCTAGCAACAGTCTAGCACACACTTGGGATACCATAGCAACTGCCTAGCAACACCCTAGCAGCAATCAAGCACGCACTTGGGAAACCATAGCAACTGCCTAGCAACACCCTAGCAACCACCTAGCAACAGTCTAGCACACACTTGGGTTACCATAGCAACTGCCTGGCAACAATCTAGCACGCACGTGGGATACCTGGCAACAAGCTTAAGCTGTGCAATCACTCTGCATTTCCTTAAGCAGATGCTGTTTCCTAGTTGACATTTTGTTACTGTTGATTTATTTTTGTGTTTTTCTTTGCCTCTTCCAGATGTCGTCTCCTGCTCCTGGTGCCCGTTTTCATACACAGCTCAAATTTAACACAAACGCATCAGAAGATGCCACCATGTTGAGTGTGTCAGAGAACACGGTGTCCAGAAGAAGCCCCAGCCCTCAGCAGACATCCTCTGATACCCTCTGCTCTACTGAATCTCACGGGCTAATGCAAAACGACCCCGACAAGTCGACGAGCCACCAGTGCTCAGACTGTGGGAGGAGTTTTACTGATCAGAGTCTTCTCCAGCTGCACCAGTACATCCACACAGAGGAAACACTGTACGACTGCTCAGACTGCGGGAAGGGTTTTAACCGCCCGAGTCATCTCCAGACGCACAAGCGCGTTCACACGGGGGAGAAGCCGTATCGCTGCTCAGACTGCGGAAAGCGTTTTAATCAAGCGGGCAGTTTCCAAAGGCACCAGCGCGTTCACAGAGGAGAGAAACCGTTTTACTGCTCGGACTGCGGGAAGAGTTTTAATCGACAGAGCAGCTTCCAGGCCCACCAGCGCATCCACACCGGAGAGAAACCGTATTGCTGCTCAGACTGCGGGAAGAGCTTCAATCGGCAGAGTAGTCTCCAGCAACACCAGCGCACTCACACAGGAGAGAAGCCGTATCAGTGCTCGGACTGCGGGAGGAGCTTCAATCAGCTGAGCAACCTCCAAACTCACCAGCGCGTTCACACCGGAGAGAAACCGTATTACTGCTCGGAGTGTTGGAAGAGTTTTAGTCAGCCGAGCAGCCTCCAACAACACCAGCGCATTCACACTGGAGATAAACCGTATTACTGTTCCGACTGCGGGAAGAGCTTTAATCGACAGAGCAGCTTCCAGCTACACCAGCGCGTCCATACAGGAGAGAAACCGTATCTGTGCTCGGAGTGCGGGAAGAGTTTCAACCAACTGAGCAACCTGCAAACACATCAGCGCATCCACACGGGAGAGAAACCGTATCAGTGCTCGGACTGTGGGAAGAGTTTTAATCGACAGAGTCACCTCCAGACGCATCAGCGCATTCACACAGGGGAGAAACCGTATCACTGCTTTGAATGTGGGCGGAGCTTCAGACAAACCAGTGCTTTGAATACACACGATTGCACTAAGAGGGAGATAAAAACTGAAGATGTATGAGTTGGTCAGATATGTCATTATCATTGTACTAGTTTTAATGGCAGCAAAACATTTTAGTTCCTCCCACAGACTCCCATTCGTTCTCAACAAAACCTGTCAACCACTTGGCAACCCCCTAAAAACCACTCAGTAAACACCCTGTACACCATGGCAACCTCCTAGCAGCACCTTAGCAGCCAACCCTTATACCATTGCAACTGCCTAGCAACCACTTGGGATACTATAGAAATTACCTAGCAAGGTCCATTTGGTTACAGCTGGTACATTTGACAAGCTTTCCAGCCTGATGCACGCTATGGTATAGTTGCTTAATCCAGTGGATTAACAAAGAAAAGCAGGTTGCCACACTTGCTATATAGCGGTTTTCCGATGAGCAGTGCACTACGTTTCGGGTACGAATCGAGGATCACTAAGAGTTCAGACTGCAGGCAAATCGGATTTGTTTCTCAAATCAGATCTTTTTAGGCGACTGTTCACTCTGTTATTTGCAAGTGATCAGATCAGATTTGTGTGTCCAGACATCATCAGCCTATCGGGTTGCCGTGGTAACAACATATGCATCAGCAACTACGTATCTACGCTGGTGACACTGTTTTCAAACGCGGATGCAGGCGAGATGGAGGTGCATCATCTCGCCCTCCAAACAGCTGCTCTGTCAAGTCGTGGTTCAGAACTGTTGTTCCATAGTGGGTATGATTAGAAATTCTCTTGCGAAAGTTTGAATCTTTGGTGCCTTTCTTGAATCCCAGCACCTCCGTCACTCTGGATTTGACATCGTCCTTGAGTGTGTTTGCATGCACTCAAAAATCCGATCATAATCTGATTTCAGCAGTTGTCTGATTATTCAAATGGTCGTGTAAGCAGCACAGTGAGGTCTAGAAAACCGATTAAAAGATCTGATAAAGAGGCTGGATTTTAGCTCAGTAATCAGATTTCTCAGTGCATGTAAACTCTTACTCTGATTTCTTTCGGATTACTCAGTCTGCGCATGTGCAAAAACAGACGGCGGTACCGGCAGCAGCGTCGCCGCGAGGTGCAGCAAAACACTTTTGGAGTGACGCTGAAACCAAATACATGCTTGACGAAATAAAGTGATAATGAACGGATTACTGACAATCTGATTTTCTGCAGTTATCGGATTATTATGAGCATGTAAACGCACCCGTTGAATAATGGTGAACAGTGGTGTTCGGTTACGGTCCTGTTGCCCTCCACAGTTTCTACTGTTCCCCTGTTACACTGTTAGTGTGTTGGGAGCAGAGAATACCTTAAACAAGTATTCAAAACTTTTGAATGGTAGTGTAGTATTAATACAATAAAAGATGGACTCCTCTGGACTTCATTGGACAGGTCAGAGGGGGACAGGCTCAGATATTTGTGCCCAAATTCAGCTTCCAAAACCCAGGGAGGCAGATGGGACAGCAAGACCACTAGTACGGTCCAGATGACCAGATTACGCCGAAATTCTGGGAGATTGTGCTCCAGAGATGAATCAGCTTGAACCAGTATTGGTCCTTTTGTTGCATCATCTTGTCTTTTCTATTTTAAACTTTCTTGTTCTGTTTTCTTCTATTTTAATCGTATTTGATCTATTTTTGTTAATGTACTGATGATGAGTTGTAGTTATTTATACACAGGTGCTTTTGGATGCCTAGTGATTAATTAGCTGGATGAATGGTTTTAAAGCCCATGACTGAGTTCAAATAGACTGAAGTAAATTAGAATTCAGATATATAACAATGTTTTGTAGCTTATCTAATAATTGATCAACTATACCAATACATGATTGACATGTAATATACACTGATATACGTGAATAAACTGGCTTCCTCACTTTAAACGTGTCCTGTCTTTTCTTTAGCAAAGAACATGGTTCTATATAGAACCATAAACACTCAAAGAACCCTTTGCATGATTAAAGGGTTCTTTGCATCATGAAATTGTTCTTCAGGTTGATGAATGTACTATAGATGGTTCTATATAGAATCTTTTTGAAAAGGGTTCTTCTATTATTACAAGCTTGACACTGTAACAGTAGAAGAACCATTTTCAAAAAGGTTCTGTATAGAACACTTTGCACGATTAAAGGGTTCTTTGCATCTTGAAATGGTTCTTTAGACTGATGGAGAATGTGCTATAGACAGTTCTATATAGAACCTTTTTGAAAAGTGTTCTATATAGCACCCAAAAGGGTTCTTTTATTATTACAAGCTTGTCACCATAACAATAGAAGATCCCTTTTTAAATAAGTACCAAATAGAACCTTTTGCATGATTAAAAGGTTCTTTGCATCGTGAAATTGTTCTTCAGATTGATGAAGAATGTGCTATAGATGGGTCCTTTTTGAAAAGGGTTCCATATAGCACCCGAAAGCGTTCTATTATTGCAAGTTTGACACCATAACAATAGAAGAACCATTCTGGGTGCTATATAGAACTATTTTAAAAAAGGTTCTATATAGAGCCCTTTGTATGATTAAAGTGCATCATGAAATGGTCCATCAGGTTCTTAAAAGGGAATGTGCTATAGATGGTTCTATATATTCAAAAAGGTTCTGTATAGAACACTTTGCATGATTAAAGGGTTCTTTGCATCATGAAATGGTTCTTTCAGACTGATGGTGAATGTGCTATAGACAGTTCTATATAGAACCTTTTTGAAGAGTGTTCCATATAGCACCCAAAAGAGTTCTTCAATTATTACAAGCTTGTCACCTTAACAATAGAAGAACCCTTATGGGTGCTATATAGAACCATTTTCAAAAAGGTTCTGTATAGAACACTTTGTACGATTAAAGTGTTCTTTGCATCATGAAATGGTTCTTCAGACTGATGGAGAATGTGCTACAGACAGTTCTATATAGAACCTTTTTGGAAAATGTTCTATATAGCAGCCAAAAGTGTTCTATTATTACAAGTTTGATACCGTAACAATAGAAGAACCATTTTCAAAAAGGTTCTATATAGAGCCCTTTGCATGATTAAAGGGTTCTTTGCATCATGAAATGGTTCTTCAGATTCTTAAAGAGAATGTGCCACAGATGGTTCTGTATAGAACCTCTTTAAAAAGCGTTCTTTTATTATTACAGGTTTGACACCGTAACAATAAAAGAACCCTTTTGGGTGCTATACAGAACCATTTTCTTTACTACAGAAAAATATTTTTTTAAAGTGTATGGTTCTTTAGACTGATGGAGAATGTTTTTAGCAGGGATTTCCAAAATGACGGAAGGATATCCTAAAAGAACGTAGTTAGCTGAAGTACACACTTAAGGGTTCTTTAGTACAGGCAGTGGTTCTGTGTAGAACCATGAACACTCATTTGCATGCCTAAATGGTTCTTCAGATTGATGGAGAATGTATTGTATATGGTTCTATATAGCAAAGGTTTTTGGTGATGTATAGAACCATATACCACACATTCTCCATCAATCTGGAGAACCATTTCACCATGCAGAGAACCATTAAGCACGCAAAAGTTTAATTCAATGAACTCAGCATTTCAAGTTGACCAGGTCACTTTTTTAAGACGCGTCATACTTTACAGTGGAGCCATTGTTGTTGACCAAAAAGCGGCTACTCTCGTCGACCACCAGAGGTAGGCGCAGTTGGACTGCAGCGAGCCCAGCAGTAAAGTGGAGAAGAAGAATAGGCTCTGCTGTGGACAGCTGGCCACACCTCCGCGCTCGGACAGTGCTGGAAGAACCCAAACAGGAGCTGCGCTGTTGAAGGTAGGAAGCTGTTCAGCACCGTGTACTCGTTTATTTACCTTTTCTGATGGTCCATCAGAGAGGTGGTCGCTGTTTGAAGCTTATGAAAGCTGCCTTGGTCCCACTGCTGAAAAAGACCATTGGCTTAATGGTTGCCATTGCAGACCACTAGTTTCCTGTAAAACACCTTTAGATCCCATCAGATGCATTTAGAATCAGCTGTTGGTCACCTGTTAAACCAATAGAGTCCTTTACACTGTGATATCAACCCATCAGGAAAACACTTAATACCACTATTTGGAAGCCATTAGAAACGTCTGTTGGTTCCTGGTGGTATCCAGAGGTCACTAATGGTGTTCTGTATTTGTCCTGATGGGTTGATATCACAGTATAAAGGGCTCTGATGGTTTAACAGGTGTTCTGATTTCAGACGTAGCTGATGGAATCTTAATGTGTCCTACAGGAAACCAGATCTCCAATGGTATCCATTAAGCCAAATCCTATTAGAAAGCAAAACCACCCAGTTTTAATCCCAGTGGTTCTAATGGTCTTTTTCTTTAGCAGGGCAGCATAGACCAGCATGATCACCAGCAAAACCAGCATAAGCTTTGAATGAATGCTGGTGTGCTGGTCAGCAGCAATAAGAGTTAATATGTCAATAATCGTAATAGATCATAATCATAATAGATTGCATTGATATGAAATGATGCACTGCTTTGGGGAGTATTTCACAAAAATGCACTCTTAGATGGTTCTTCAAGGGTTCTTTAGTAAAGACAGTGGTTTTATATAGCACCATGAACACTCAAGGAGCCGTTTGCATGCTTAAATAGTTCATTGCATGGTGAAATGTTCTTCAGATTGATGGAGAACGTGCTGTATATGGTTCTGTGTAGAGCCTTTTTGAACAAGGTTTTATGTAACACCAAAAAGGGTTCTTCTGTTGTTACAATGTCAAGCTTTTATCTACAATAGAACAACCCTTTTTGGTGCTATATGTAGATGTCAGTACTGACGGTCTCTATTCCGCCAGTATAAACTCTACGGTTTTCAGTATTTTGGCGGATAACAATATTTTAGATCCACTTCAGTTGTTAAATATGGTTCTTATAAAAAGTGAAGGGACGTCCAGAATAATATGGCATTGTTAATATACAAAATAGGTTTACTTAAGCATCCAAAATGTTTTCTTAAGGAAAAAAAAACAAAATACTGTTCTACAGTTACAGACTGTAGTTCATCTGTTTCTCTGCGTACTTTATTAGCCCCCTTTTACCCTGTTCTTCAGTGGTCAGGACCCCCATGGACCCTCACAGAGCAGGTACTATTTGGGTGGTGGATCATTCTCAGCACTGCAGTAACACTGACGTGGTGGTGGTGTGTTAGTGTGTGTTGTGCTGGTCTGAGTGGATCAGACACAGCAGTGCTGCTGGAGTTTTTAACAAAGTATGCAGAGAAACAGATGGACTACAGTCTGTAACTGTAGAACTACAAAGTGCACCTATATAGTAAGTGGAGCTGATAAAATGGAAAATGAGGGTAGAAACAAGGAGGTGTTATGCCTAATTGGTGTGTGTGTGTGTGTGTATATATATATATATATATATATATGTATGATATAATTTTTTGCCATACTGCATCACGAAAGGGTTCTTTGCATCATGAAAGTTCTTCAGACTGATGGACTTCAACACTTGAAGAACCGTATTTTTTAAGAGTGTAGGCTAAGGGGGGATGGGGTTAAGGGGACTTTGTTTTGCCAACTCAAAGAAGGTGCTCCAAGGGTTCTTTAGTAAAGAAAATAGATCTAGATAGAACCGAGAGCACTCAAAGAACAACTTACATGATTCAAGGGTTCTTTGCATCATGAAAGAGTTCCTAAGACTGATGGAGAATGTGCTGTAGATGGTTCTATCTAGCACTCAAAAGGGTTCTTATATTGTTACGGTGTCATACAAAAAGAACTGTCTATAGCACATGCATGCACATTTTCCATCAATCTGATGAACCTTTATGACGCAAAGAACCCTTTAGTCATGCAAAGTGTTCTTTGAGTGTTCATGGTTCTATATAGAACCATTTTCTTTACCAAAGAACCCTTTAAGAACCGTCTTTTTTAGGAGTGAACAGCTTGGATTGCTATTGTCAGAAAGGCATGTTTACCTTACAAAGCGATTAAATACATGTTGGTGGACAGTTTGTTGCATTTTACATTTTTTGTGTCTTTTTCTTTTCTCTCCCAGAGGTTTTCTTCAGCTTTTTGAGCACAGCTCCACAATCACATCAAAGATGCTTTCAAAAGGAGTATGTCAAACTGCTCAAAGTACGTATTACATATGAGAATATGGCGTCCAGAAGAAGCTCCAGTCCTCAACAATCGTCCTCTGGTACTCCAGGCATTAAGGCATCTCACAGAGGCATGAAGAACGATAGAAAGAAGAAGAAAATTCACCAGTGCTCGGACTGTGGGAAGAGTTTCGGTCAGCAGCGTCGTCTCCGACAGCACCAACGAGTCCACGCAGGAGTGAAACCCTGTCACGGCTCAGACAGCGGGACGAACAGTCTCCGAAAACACCCTGGAGAGAAGCCGTACCCCTGCCCGAACTGCTGGAAGACCTTCAGTCGAGAGAGTAACTTCCTAAAGCACCAGCAGATTCACTCAGCGGAGAAACTGTACTACTGCTCAGAGTGCGGGAAGAGCTTCAGTCGGCAGGGGAACCTCCAATCGCACCAACGCATCCACACCGGAGAGAAGCCTCATCGCTGCTCAGACTGCGGGAGGAGGTTCGCTCATCTCGGCAGCCTCCAGAGACACCGGCGCATCCACACGGGAGAGAGGCCGTACCACTGCGCACACTGCGGCAAGAGTTTCAACAATCAGAGTAACTTCCAGACGCACCTGCGCATTCACACCGGAGAGAAACCGTATTACTGCGCCGACTGTGGGCGGAGCTTCGCTCATCAGTGTAACCTCCAAACACACCAACGCATTCACACGGGAGAGAGACCGTATTACTGCTCGGACTGCGGTCGGAGCTTCGCCCATCACAGTAACCTGCAAACGCACCAGCGCATTCACACAGGAGAGAAACCGCATCACTGCTGTGAATGTGAGCAGAGCTTCAGTGAGATGGACGCTTTAAAGACCCACGAGTGCACTAAGGGGGAGGTGAAGACTGAGGACACGTGAGTTGGTCAGGTTAAACTTTTTCATCATCACTTTTTTAACGTCCACCACTGCGCGAAATACCAAGCGGGAACCACCCCTGTGCTCCAGTAGGGGCTGGCCTCCAAATCGCTCACCGTAGCTGTGCTGATGTTAGATATAATGGCAGAATAATGTCTAGTTAACAACCATTTTCATTGTTGTGGTTAATTTATATAATGGAAGTCTGAAATGGACTGGGAACAAACTTTGTTTCCTATTCTTCATTTTGGATTGGAGCAGCTCCAACTCCTTTGGTTACTGTTGCTACATCTGCCAAGCTTTTGAACATTAACCAGGGTTAAGGGTCTTTAATCTAGATCCTACACCTCTAGTCTTGGGTCTGTGGTTTAGGAAGTGGTGAAGTTTTCGTTTCCTACCTCCAAACTCTTGGGATATTGGATTTCCAATATAGTGTCCCACATGCAGCGCTGCACCAGCTAGTCAGACGATTTAGAGCCCATGTGTCAAACACGAGGCCCGAGGCCCATAACGGAATCCTATCTGGCCCGTAAAAATATTTTAAGTTTCTATTAATATTAGCCTGTTTCACATTGCACTGCACTACAGTCCCCAGCATGCACTGCAACGTAACGTGCACTCCTACCCCAACAACAATCTATGGGACAGCAGTTACACCTCAATGCCACACCAGTCACATCACCAAAATGCATTTCCGCTGAAGATCAACCAACATGAACACTGAACGTCAACTCAGCAGCTCAGAAACTGAGCCCAAGTCTTAATGAACCTGCAGCAAACAAAGGTTTAAGCAGATATGTAGGTTTAAAAGATTAAAAGACATTTCAATTTTCAATATTTCAATTATTCATAATATATTTTATATATGTTGCTGTTGACAGTTTGGCATATTTTTAATAAACAGTGGGCAGATTGGGTTATTTAATAAAAAATTAAATAAAAACAAATCAAAATTTGTCGATCTTTTTTAAAATGGCCCTTTTAGTGGTTGAGTTTGACACTCCTGATTTAGAGTTTCTAAGCACTGAAGGACCAACTAGGTGAACATATTCGCTACAGTGCCACCTTGAGGCCGACCAGTGCCTCAGGTCTTGATAGCTCAAATAAAATAATGTTACACACCTTGTCCTGAATCTGTAACTGGGCAAGTGCTTTCCCTAATGGACCTAATGATGCGCTCACAAGTTTGTCAGGGGCCCCTCTCCACACGAGTTTTGACTACTGACTACTGGACACCATTCCCATGGTGCAAACCGCATGCCTACTCATTCTAGAGACCCTATGCATGTAATCGCCAAGCTTGCAGAGGTGCACAGTGCACTGCCTGTGCTAGTTCTGTCTTACAAACTGATATTTTAAAGGTGCAGTGTGTAAGATTTAGCGCCAGCTAGCGGCGAGGTTGCAGACTGCAACCAAATGAATACCAAGTGTATAGTAGAACTCACGTTGGAGTTTTCGTTTATATTATATTATTATTGTACACAAGTACATCAGCACATACTGAGACATATTACAGCCCAGATGGTAAAATGGACATGAAATGTTGTGGCTCCTAAGGTATAAGCTATAACTGTAATGTCCACTGCACTGTAAACCACACCGTGCCTGAGAATGCTGGGTAATTTGGTCACCCTTCTGGTCGGGTGCTGAGCACACCAAACCAGGAAACATGGTTGGAGATAGAAATAGTGCAGATCATTCATCGGCCAAGTTCAGTCTTACTGCGCCATCAATCAATTTACCCAGAATCCCAAATACAAAGTGAGAAGTAAATCAGAAGCTCCTCCGTTGTTGTGATTATTGCTTGTGTTTACTGTTTACGCTGCAATCGCAGGAGAAATGATGTCATCACCCCCGACCTGCACAGAGCCCTGTTTACTTTGACGGGTTCTGCTGTGCAGTGAGGAACAGACTCATGAACTGAGACGCGTTTAGTTCCATACCAAGTGGAAAAATGCCTTCTTCATTTTCACTGTATTGTCCTGCATTTTTCCTTTTTTTTTGGAATTATCAGTCATTACACGCATCATAAACGACTAAGTGTTGCTTAGTTGAACAGTATGTTCACGTTTCAGTCCTTTTAGTTAAAGTACTAATAATTATTTGGAAAACTTTCTTAAAAAACTCAATGAATTTACACACTCAAATGTTTTTGGATCCCATATGATTGAGATGACTGAACACTGGCTGTTTGAATGGCTTTTAAGGCTGAAGTGAATTAGAAATTAGATGTTGTACTGTTCATATAATTCCTCCGAACATACCGCAGTGTTTTATGAGTAGCTTATACTTGGTAAACTGTACAAATATACAAGTGATATGATGTAATCATCTGTTGATGCTGAGCAAACAGAAATAAACCCGGTTCCTTATTTAAGACGTGTTCTGTCTCCTGCTTTATTCATTTATATTGGCAGTGAAATGAATGTACTTACATGTAATATACATAAATCATGGATATTATGTAATTGATTAGAGGAATACTTTTTTATTGGTAGCAGTTTTAGTTTTTTCGCCAGTAAAACTCAAACAAAAATGGAGAAAATGCACAGAAGACCTCTACAAAACTGTTGGTGTCAGTTTACAGATGAACCTTTGGTGCTGGAAGACAAAGTCAGACAGGCCCTCAGATCACTGCCCAGAAATGGACACAGGAATCGATAACACTGCAGTGAAAATATTCCAGGACTTAACAAACAAATGAGATCAGAAAGTGTGTGCAAACTATAATGCAGTTTTCTCTATATCGCACACAAGATTACACTCCAGATCATTCAACGCAGACTAGAGCCTTACATTAAAAGAAAGTATAGGGTCAAAAAGGTCCGGATTTTGGATAGATGTATATAGAACTGGTGTAAAGGTTCAACTTGTAACTGTGTAATGCTGATGTATTACCACTGTTTATAATCTGAATCAGAAGATATTCTTCTCTGTTAGTCCTTTTATATATTACTGTAAATTTTAGATGCATATATACGATGATCTAATGACAAACTAAAATTTTGATAAATTCTTTATCAAACTGGATTTTATTTACTACTCACATTTTTAATCGTAGTAAAAAAATCTGTTATTTCAGATATGGCTGTTGTCTGAAGAAAACCTCGTATCTCCAAAATAATAACGTTACAGGAGAAGGAAAACACCTACTTTACTTTTAATGCAAGTTAATGGAACCAGACTTTTTTCCAAGTCATTTTTGGCCGTTTCTTTTGGGCCGTTCATCGGGAAATCTACACACAGTGTAAAGAGCAACAGGGATTTTCAAATTAGAAAGCTTTGGAGCAGGAGACTTTAACATGCATGACTGTTTAGATGAATTAGGTGGTTTTAGTGAAATATGCTGAATGTGCATTAATACTGAAGGAAACACACAGGTGAGTTTTCATAGCTTTTTTAGTGAAATACGTCCTACTTTCTAAAATTAAAGGAAAGCTCTGTGTAAGTGATTAAAGACTATTTTAACTTTTAGCTTTTAGCCATTGAGCTACAGCTTTATGCCTATTGGTCAAGGTCCGTTCGTTGCTGTGGTGTTGAGTCGGCAAGTGTGCTTGTAGCCTCGACATTAGCTAGATGGTTTCTAGCTTACTCGTATCAAATGAACAGAAATGATTGATCAGTAATGCTCATCATAAATAATAACGTATTAATCTGACTAACATTGGTAGCTCAGCCATTTGTTCCCTACCAGAGGATTAACGGTAGCTGACTTCAAATAGCTTAACATTAATCAACTCAGCTGACGTCAGCAGGGTTTCTTTGACTGTAGCTCACAGTGTCTAACAGTGTTCTACTGAACTCTCCTATAGCGCTCGTCTTCATAGGCTCATCTAATTAATCCTGTATATTTATCTTCTATAGTGGCGTCATCAAAAAACAATAGTTCTACATGGACAAAACTCTTTTCAGTGAGTACAGGGAGTAATATAGCTCATCCTATTTTGTTTACTAGACATAATACTGTTTTCTAAGGGCCATTCATAATGTTTTTTCCTCTGTTTGGTGTTCAAACATCGGTTACTGTAAATCATTGATTAAAAATATCAGGCACACAAACTATAAATATAAAGGATTTTTTTCTCATTCTCTTTGCTACCATCTCTGGATTTCCACCATTCCCTTTGAATAATCAGTATACTCTAAAACGCAAACATAAAAAACCAGATGATTCTGAAACACACTGTTAAAAGACTTCATTGGCTGACTTACCAACTTAAGATCTGACAGGTGAAGATAAGATTTTTCACAAATTCATATTACAGAAGCAAATCTGATCTTAATTTAGACATCTTAGAGCATCTTTTTTATCTCAAGTTAGGAAATCTTAACTTAATCGACTGAAGTCGACAATCAAATGTCGTGTCTGTTACCCAGCAACCGACCATAAACACATAGCTGAAGCGTAAACGCGTAATCGAGTTAGTTAGCCAGATAGCTAACGTTAGCTACCGTTAGCCACTGGTGCAAAAAAAAAGTCAAACAAAACTAAAGCGCAATAAAAGTTAAGTGAAAGTTAAGGATATTGTATCAGCGCCCCCTGCTGTTTATCAGAGTCGCCGCTCCACAGTTTCAGTCTCCGTTTCCCCAAATGCTTTAGCCGAGCACACTAACGTTATTCCTTCTAATAAACCGACACACGTTCAGCTCTGTCTACTCATTATTCACCACCATCACTGTGATATTTTATCTGACGAGTTTTCTTCAGCAATAACCCACGAAGGTAATAAGAGGGGACAGTGGAGATCATGTCTGCAGCATCTGGAGCTTTTAAACAGTGTTAGAAAAAAAACTCGCATGTCAATACACAGTTTTCAGTGTGGAAAACATAGCTAACGTCATTATGCTGGTTATAGTGAACTGTGCTGCCTATCACTGCATAAAACAACAGGAACAGACAGTTAAACAAAAGGTAAGACCCTCTGCGGTTTATCTTAAAGTTAAGAAAATATTTAGGATATTTTGGCAACTTAGGATGTTTCTGTAACACCGTTTTATCTGGAAATAAGATTATAGACTTAAGAACTGTTGTTCTGTAATGGCTTCTGTCCTAACTGCAGTCTTAACTGAAGGTGCCATGACAACAAATCAGATCTCAGACTTCAGAATTTTCTGTAATACGGCCCCTGGACACTAAGTTTAGGTTATCAGAACACGCTGACGTTTGGCTTCAAACCAGCCTCCTGTTGATTGGTAATATAACAACCGGAAAACATAGTATGTATAACATTACTCCATAGTTCTCATTCATACTTCAACAAATGCTCTCTGTCCACAAAGTAACGGTTAATTCAGGGTCCTCAGGCATTTCCTCCGTTTCCTCCCCGTCACTCACTCAACGCCTCTGGTCTCCTGCCGCCCCCCACCCTGGAGGGAGGGTCTCTGATCCACGCCCCCAACTCAGTGCTGTTGGAGGAGCACAAACAGAAGCTGTGCTGTTGAAGGTAAGGACCTGTTACACCTTCTTTACATTCTTTACTCTGATTCTGACTGACATTTAGAAAAATATCCTGCTGAAAAAATATATAAAAACATCTAAGTGTTTCTGTTGGTTTCCGATGGTTTTATAATGTGTTTTGTCTTTTTTAATGGGTTGATATCACAATGTAAAGGATCCTAATGGTTTAGCAGGTGACCGATGGATGATGCATTTGATGGGTTTCGTAATTGGATCTAAAGGTTCTACAGAAAACTAGTGGAAACCGTTAGGCCAATTCCCATGAGAAAGCAAAACTATTAGGTTTTAATTTTAATGATCTCTAATGATCCTTTTTCATATATTTCATATATATATATATATATATATATATATATATATATATATATATTTCTATGTATATATATGCTATATATATATATATATATATATATATATATATATATATATATGTTTATATATAGCATATATATGAAACCATACACTAAAACAATAAGCCACATGAGATTGTCCATTACTCTGATTTTGCCGGGGGGAGGGGGGTGTTCTTAGGCACAAAGCAAAGCAGAGTAAGAGGAGTGGCTTATTGCTTTTATAAAATGGTAAAAAAATATGATAAAATACCGTTTTTCTGTAAATAAGTGCATATGTTTAATTTATTGTTAATAATAATCGACATAAACAAGTGTTCCACCGAGAAATTATAGTTCTTTTAGAGCATCGTGCTGTTGCCAAGCAACCATGGCCTGCAGAATGGAGGCGGCTGCTGTGACAGCAGGATGCCGACACGTCACCAGCAGTGCCTGCTTATAAAAGAATCATTAGAGACCATTAAGGGCTGAGCCAATCAGACCAGCTCAAGACCCACCCTGCTTTCCTCAGCCCTGCAATCACTGCTTAGCAACCATTGCTACCCGTTGTTTATTTATATTAATAAATAAATAACAATAAAAAACGCATAGAAACCAATAAGTGTTTGCTTTTTAATGGGAACTGGCTTAATGGTTTCCAGCAGAGACCACTTGTTTCCTGTAGAACACCTTTAGATCCCATCGAATGCATTTAGAATCAGCCACTGGTCACCGGTTAAACCATTATAATCCTTTACACTGTGATATCAACCCATTAAAAAAGACAAAACGCATTATAAAACTATGAGGAACCAACAGAAACACCTAATGGTTTCTTTTAGCGTTATTTATTTATTAATATAAATAAACAGTGGGTAGCAATGGTTGCTAAGCAGTGATTAGAGGGCTGAGGAAAATGGGGTGGGTCTTGAGCTGGTCTGATTGGCTTAGTCCATGATGTTGGCAGTACAGTTCTGCCCCTTTCTGGTAGTACAGCCACATATTGGATACTGTACTGTACACTACTGGTGAAGAGTATGCAGTATGTAGTATATACTGGTGCTGTATACAGTGTACAGTACCCAGTATGCTATTTAAAACACAGCCATACTCCATCAATCTGGAGAACCATTTAGCATGCAAATGGTTTTATACAGAACTCATAGTTCTAAGTAGAACCAATACCTGAGGAACCATCTTCTTAAGGGTGTAGTTTGGCAAACAAAGAGCATTTTGTAGTGATAGTTCACAACAAAACAAGAATGCCTTCATGTTTTATTTTTGGCTTTATTTAATCTCTGAAAACGTCCTCTTCCTTAATATCCCCATCATCATATCATTCCAAATTGTGTTCCTAACACAAGTATATTAGGCAAACAACAAAAAAGGCTACTGACATATTTTTAATGTACAATCCCATTTCTAAAAATGTTGGGACGCTGTGCAAAATGTAAATATAAACAAAAGGCAATGATGTGCAGATCATTTAAACTGTGCATCCCATTGAAAGCAGTACAAAGACAACATATCAAATGTTGAAACTGAGAAATATTATTGTTTTTTGAAAAATATAAGCCCATTTTGAATTTGATGCCAACAACACATTCTAAAAAAGTTGGGATGGGGGCAACAAAAGGCTGGTAAAGTTGTGTAATGCTAAAAAAATACCTGGTGGTTAAATGCAACAGGTCAGTAACATGATTGGGTATAAAAAGAACATCTCAGGTCTTTCAGAAGTAAAGATGGGGAGGGGTTCACCGCTCTGTGAAAGACTGCACGAACAAAGGGTGCAGTAATTCAAGAATAACGTCTCTCAAGATAAAATAGCAAAGAACTTTTACTTTCATCGTCTACGGTACATAATATCATTAAAAGATTCAGAGAATCTGGAGAAATCTCTGTATGTAAGGGACAAGGCCAAAAACCAGTACTTGCTGGCCGTGATCTTTGGGCCCTCAGGCAGCACTGCATTAAAAACAGTCATGACTCTGTAGTGTAAATCACTGCATGGACTCAGAAACACTTCTGAAAACCACTGTCTGTGAACACAGTTCATCACTGCATCCACAAATACCAGATGAAACTCTAAAACGCAAAGAAGAAACCAAATATAAACAGGATCAAGAAACGCTGCCACCTTCTCTGGGCCTAAGCTCATTTTAAATGGACTGAGGGGAAGTGGAAAAAGTGTCCTGTGGTCCGACGAATCAACATTTGAAACTCTTTTTGGAAAACATGGACACTGTGTCCTCCGGGCTAAAGACCACTCAGTTTGTTATCAGTGCACAGTTCAAAAGCCCAGTTTTCATGATGGTATAGGGGAGCATTAGTGCACATGGCATGGAAGACGTGCACATCTGGCACCATTAATGCTGAATGATACATACATGTTGCTGCCATCCAGACGATGTCTTTTTCAGGGAAGGCCTTGTTTATTTCAGCAAGACAATGTAAAACCACATTCTGAATGTATTACAACATCATTGCTCCGTATTAAAAGAGTCTGGGTGCTAAACTGACCTGCCGGCAGTCCAGACCTGTCACCACTGAAAACATTTGGCACAACATGAAATGAAAAATACGACAAAGGAGACCCCGAACTGATGAGCAGCTGAAATCCTGTATCAAACAAGAAAGGAAAACATTTCACTTTCAAAACTGCGGCAGTGTCTCCTCAGTTCCCAAACACTTACAGAGTGCTATTGAAATAAGAGGTGATGAAACACAGTGGTAAACATGCCCCCGTCCCAACTTTTTTGTGGAATGTGTTGTTGGCATCAAATTCAAAATGGGTATATATTTTTCAAAAAACAATAAAAATTCTCAGTTTACTCATTTGTCTTTGTCGTATTTTCCATTAAAAATATGGTTTACATGATTTGCATATCATTGCATTCTGTTTACATTCTGCACAGCGTTCCCAACTTTTTTGGAAATGGGGTTGTATTTTATAAATATAACTGACGTGTATTTATTTTCCATAACCAGTGTAATGTAGAGTTCTCAGTACCCATGTTTACATGCTGCCTGATAATCCGTTAATAATCCGACTAATAGCCCAATTGGAATATAATACTTCCATGTAAACACCTCAATCAGAATAGTCTAGTCTGATTAAGGCCGTCTGGAATATAATTCCTATCCGATTGATCGAGGTGGGTAATCCTGTAAATAATCCGTTAAATAGAAGAATAATATCCGTGTAAACGCCTGTATCTGATTACATTCCCTATCTGAAGGTTTAAGTACGTTCTGGTCATGTTCGCCACGTCATAGTGAAAGTTTATACAGTTCAACATGGCGGAGCAGAAACTGGTCTGCAGAGGAGACAAAGTTGGACTGCCAGCTTATGTGTCTCAGAACACGACGTCTTCCTCTCGGCCTTCTTTAATAAGGACATGTGAAGGACGTTCTCCTGAGTCTGACATCATTTTAAAGCGATTAAAAACACAAGCACTGCTCACTGCTGCTCATCTCACTCTGACAGGACTCACGTGATCCTCGTTGTCATGGTAACGTCTACACTAAGCAGTTCTCTACATAATTTTGTATGTAATTTTGGCTCAGATTACTTGTAGTGAGCATGTAAACAGAGATTTTCCATCAGATTGTTGAATAGAGTGAGAATAAACACCTCAGTCTGAATGTATAATCGAAATGTATTCAATCGGATTGGCAAAAATCTTTGCATGTAAACATAGCCTAAATATATACATGGACATTTTGTTGCATTTTTTATTGATAGTTCATATTTTTATCTCTATTTTTCCCAGAAGTTGTCTTCTGCTACAAGTGTACACAGCTCAAATTTAACTCCACAAATGCATTGAAAGACGCGAAGAGATAATATATGACGATATGGCATCCAGAAGAACAACCTCTAGCACTCTCGTTAAGACATCTCATAGGCGAATGCAAAGCAAAAGAGACAAGGAAAAAACTCACCAGTGCTCAGACTGTGGGAAGAGTTTTAATCAACGGAGTCATCTCCGGACACACCAGCGCATTCACACTGGAGAGAAACCGTATTATTGCTCAGAGTGCGGGAACAGTTTTCGTCAGCAGCGTCTTCTCCAGACGCACCAGCGCATTCACACTGGAGAGAAATCGTATCATTGCTCTGAGTGCGGAAAGAGTTTTAAACAACACACTCATCTCCAAATGCACCAGCGCATTCACACAGGAGTGAGACCATATTACTGTTCAGACTGTGGGAAGAGTTTTATTGATCAGAGTGCGCTCCAGAAACACCAGCGCATTCACACGAGACAGAAACCGTTTTACTGCTCAGAATGCGGGATGAGTTTTACTCAACAGATTAACTTCCAAACACACCAGCGCGTTCACACAGGAGAGAAACCGCATTGTTGCCCAGACTGTGGGAAGAGTTTTAATAAAAGGAGTAGACTCCAGATACACCAGCTCATTCACACAGGAGAGAAACCGTATCACTGCTCAGACTGTGGGAAGAGTTTTAATCTTCAGGGTAACTTACGAACACACCAACGCGTTCACACTGGAGAGAAACCGTATCGCTGCTCGGACTGTGGAAAGAGTTTTACTGCTTTCTGTAATCTGTTAAAACACCAACGCATTCACACAGGATTCTCTCCGTATTACTGCTTCGAATGTGATCAGAGCTTCAGTCAGGTGGTTACTTTAAAGAAACACGTGTGCAAGAAGAAGGAGATGGAAACTGGCTGCACATAAATTGGTCAAATTAAACATTTTCATCATGCCTAATGCCACTACTTTGCCAAATGCCCAGCGGTAATCAATAGGCCCCTGTGTGCCAGTGGTGGCTGGATACCAGATCATTTACCATAGCTGTGCTGATACTAGAAATAACAGCAGAAAAATATTGAGTTGATTTATATATAATTGAAGTCTGAAATGTACTTTGTTTCCTATTTTTGTTTTTGGATTGGTGCAGCTCCTTTGGTTACTGTTACTACATCAGACAAGCTTTCGAACATTAGCCAGGGTTAACTGGTAATACAGTTCTCCACACTCTTTAGTCCAGAACCTGCACCTCTAGTCTTGTGTCTTGGGCTTAGGAAGTGGTTTAAATTTCATTTTTCACCTCCAAACTCTTGGGATACTGGATATCCAATACTTTCTCCCAAACACAGCACTGCAGCATAGTGTAAAGTTCTAAATACTTGTCAGGAGGGAATAAGCCTTTTTAGAATTGCTAAGCCAGTGGTCTCCAACCCTGGACCTGGAGAGCTACCTTCCTGCAGAGACTAGTTCCAACCGGTATCCAATTATCTGTCCTGCCCCTAAGGCTATGTTCAGACTGCCAGCTCAAAACTGAATTTTGTCAAATCCAGATTGTATCCAGATTGATTTTTTCTAGACTGCAAAAAAAAACCCAAATGAAATCTGATTTTTGCAAAATGGATCCAAACCACATTTGGAGGTGGTTTGAAATGCGACTCAATCTTATTTTTACAGATACATCTCAGTCTGGATGCTCTGGACACTCAAATTGGATTTCAACGTGTCTTTTGCGTCAATGCGACGAACAATGACAACAGAATCTAGGTGGAAGTGCTGGGATTCAAGAAGAGCGCCAAAGAGTTCTGAGGGCGAGATGATGTTCCTCCATCTCTCCTGCAACCACGTTTGAAATCCACGTCACCAGCATAGCTACGTAGTTACTGACGCCTGCGTCATTTCCACGGCAACCCATGCAGATAAACTGGTGATGTCCGGACAAACAAATCTGATCTGATCATTTGCAAATAACAGAGCGGACAGTTGACTCAAAAGACCAGATTTGAGAAATCTGATTTGCCTGCAGTCTGAACACAGCCTTAGAGTTTCTAAGCCAGTGGTCTCCAGCTCTGGTCCTGGAGAGCTTCTTTCTGCAGAGTTTAGGTTCAACCTGTATCCAATAAGCTGCCCCGCCCCCTTACTTATCTCTGATACATCTGATCAAGGACTTGGGAAGAGGTTGATTAGCTGGAGCAGGTGTGGTGGATTGTGGTTGGAACTAGGCTCTGCAGGAAGGAGCTCTCCAGCACCAGGGTTGGAAACCACTGTGCTAAACACTAAAGGACTGACTTAGTGAATGAATTCACTAAAGTGCTACCTTGAGGCAGACCAGTGACTCAGTTCCTGGTAGCTTAGCATACAGAAGACAGAAGCTCCCCAGTTAGTGGTTAAAGCAAGCTCAAATAAAATACTGTTACAGTCACCTTTCCCTGAATTCATAACTGAGCAAGTGCTTTTCCCGAATGGACCTAATGTTGCATCACAGTAGTTCTTCCGTGTATGGTTTTATATAGCACCAAAAACGGTTCACTGGAGGTGAGCTGCTCGGGAACGAGATGACTATTTGAGAGAAGCTCTCCATTCACCTCCACTCATTAAAGGGTCTTCACGGCCCTGTCCTCTTCTACAGAGACTGGACTGTCTGCCATTTGATCCTCAGGCCTGACAATCACTTGAACGCTTTTCTGTGATGTGATAAAGCTGTGATAATATAAACCACAGAGTGTGTTCAATGTATAATAACAATACATAAGGCAAACAGTAATTCTTAACCATGCTGATTTCATTAAAATTTGATGTTTGATGTTGTTTAGTGCACCAAATACAATTTACCAATACAGACAATCACAGTGCATAAATTCATTTACATTTACAGCATTTAGCAGACGCTCTTATCCAGAGCGACTTATAAAAAGTCCTTGTCTATCCACAGAAAGTATCTTTGCTGGTTACCAATAGGTTAGAGAGAAAGCCAGTCCTGAGCTCAGATACTGCTAGAATCAGAAAGTCATTATTGACACCTAGAGAAAAAGGAACAGAGTTAAACACAGAGCAGTGCAATACAATACAATACAATATATAAGTGCAGTACAATACATTACAATCAATACTTAATTCAGTGCTCATTTAAGTGCTGTATAAAGAGACGTGTCTTCAGTCTGCGTTTGAAGACAACAAATTCGTAAAGTAAGACATTTTTATGAACTTTGTTTTTCGTGAATCTGTGAATCTATTGTCTTTACATACTTTTTGTTATTTGTCATGTATTTATGTATTCATTGATGTATGAATTTAGTTTGAGCTGTGCTTTATTTTGATGGTAAAATAATACTGCTAACAATAATAATAATTTTTATTTTTGTTATTTAAAGTTATTATTATTTTACAATGATCATTTTTAGCAAGTAGTAACTAAAGTTTGTTATATTTGTGAAATTTGCGAGTTGTGAGGATTTATGTTACTTTATCATGTCCACAAATTGTTGTTGGGCAGCTTCTACAAACAGTATGTATCAGGAAGTGACCTCACCTGGTCCCCACCGAAAACAGCGGGATGGCCGAGTCCAGTTTATAGATACTGTCAATGGGTGAAACTGAGCCACCAGAGATTAATCAACTCTGACCAATACTGGTGCTTTTCCACTATGTTGCAGTTCTGAATAACTAATTTCCACTGCACTGTGAACTGAGAATACTGGGTAATTTGGTCACCCTTCTGGTCAGGGTGCTGAGCACGCCAAACCAGGAAACATGGTTGGAGAAGCTCCTCCGTTGTTGTGATTGTTGCTTGTGTTTATTGTTTACGCTACAGTCGCAGGAGAAATGATGTCATCACCCCGACCTCCAGAGAACCCTGTTTACTTTGACGCGTTCTGCTGTGCAGTGAGGAACAGACTCATGAACTGCGTTTAGTTCCATACCAAGTGGAAAAATGCCTTGTTCATTTTCACTGTATTGTCCTGTATTTTTCCTTTTTTTGGAATTATCAGTTATTATAAGCATCATAAATGACTAAGTGTTGTTTAGTTGAACAGCATGTTGACGTTTTAGTCTTTTTAGTTAATGTACTAATTAATAACTTTGGGATGTTTAACTGAACTCCAGCTGTTTCAAAGGCTTTTAAAGCCGAAGTGAATTAGAAATTAGATGTTGTTCCGTTCGTATCGTTCCTTCTGATGTACCGCAGTGTTGTATAAGTAGCTTATGTGATCATTAATAAAAAATTCAGATACATGATTCATATGTGACGTGATGTAATCGTCTGTTGATGCTGAGCATACAGGAATAAACTGTAAAACCTTATGGTAGACAAGTCCTGTCTCCTGCTTTATGTGTTTATATTGGTATTAAAATGAATGTACTTACATTTAATAAACACTTCAATATGTCCTCCTCTGTGTTTCTACACTCACTGTCCACTGTATCAGCTCCACTGACCATATAGGTCCACTTTGCGGTTCTACAGTTACAGACTGTAGTCCATCTGTTTCTCTGCACCCTGTTCTTCAGTTGTCAGGACCCCCATGGACCCTCACAGAGCAGGTTCTATTTGGGTGGTGGGTCATTCTCAGCACTGCAGTAACACTGATGGTGGTGGTGGTGTGTTAGTGTGTGTTGTGCTGGTCTGAGTGGATCAGACACAGCAGTGCTGCTGGAGTTTTTAAACACTGTCCACTCACTGTCCACTCTATTAGACACTCCTACCCTGTCAGTCCACCTTGTAGATGTAAAGTCAGAGACGATAGCTCATCTGCTGCTGCACAGTTTGTGTTGGTCATCCTCTAGTCCTTCATCAGTGGTCACAGGACGCTGCCCACGGGACGTTGTTGGCTGGATATTTTTGGCTCTTAGTCCAGCATATAAAAATCAAAATTATGTCAGAATATAATATACTTTTCCGGACATAACATGGATATTGTCAGTACTTGTAAAGCACTGACCAACTGCATGTTTCATTATAAAGACAGCAAAATTAGTGAGTTTAACTCGATTTAGCGCAACACAGTGTGCCAAATATAAAATAAAAATTACTGTATTTATATTTCTTGATAATATTTTTAAAATGTAGCACTACTGGCTCTTTTTTTGTCTATTCCAACTGATCAGATGTCTGAAAAAATAAACATTGTGACAAATCGTGTATCTTGAAAATTTATCATGATATTAGTATTATTAGTATCATGCTAGATATTATCGCAATATTATATTTTGGCTACATCGCCCACCTTTAAGATATGATAGGATAATCCTTTATTAGTCCCACAGCGGGGAATTTCTCAGTGCTACAGCAGGAAAGGGGCAGCAAGGCACTCAAGAAAGGAAGTAACATAAAGAAAATTAAGAAACAAAGTAATTAACCTTGTTAATTACTTACCAAAGTTACAGTTTGTTACTTATTGCTGTATAGACAATATATATAATACCAAAAATAAAAAATAAGATAAAAAATATGAACTCTATCCTTCATATAAACTCTCAAGTCTTCCAAAAAAAAAAAAATAATAATGTATATATATATATATATATATATATTTTTTTTTTTACTCTTACACAGTTTACAAAAAATCTCCAAAATCCAAAGACACACGTTAAGAAAAAAAACTCTCGCTTCCCACCACAGTGGGGCGCAGTTGAGCTCCAACGAGTCCAGCAGTGAAGTGGAGAAGAAGAAGACCTGCTGTGGTCCACGCCTCCTCCGCGCTCGGACAGCGCTGCTGGGAGAAGAACCTGACCAGAAGCTGAGCTGCTGAAGGTAGAGCTGCAGTTCTCCTCCTTCACCCGGTCACTTCTCTGTCTCACTGACCTTCAGACGGACGGCCGGACAGATGATTCAGAAGTAGTGAAACACGTAAACCAACAAGGAGATCTGCCTCAGTCCAGTCCTGGCTGAGTAATGTGCTTCAGGTTAACAGCAGTGCTGACTGCTTTCCTACATGCTCAAAAAAGTGGTTCTTCTAGGGTTCTTTACTATAGAGAGTGGTTCTGTATTGAACCATGACTTCGATATAGAACTATTTCATGCTTAAATGGTTCTTTGCCTGGTGAAATGGTTCTTAAGATGGAGAATGTGTTGTATATGGTTGTATATAGAACCATAAACACTGAAAGAGCCATTTGCATGCTTAAATGCTTCTTTGCATGGTTCTTCAGATTGATGGCGGATGTGTTGTGTATGGTTCCACGTAGAACCTTTTTGAAAAGTGTTCTATACACCACCGAAAGGGTTCTGCTATTGTATGCAAGCTTGACATGACAACAGCGGAACCCTTTTTGGTGCTGTATACAACCATTTTAAAAAGGTGCTATATAGAACCACATACACACATTCTTCATCAATCAGAAGAACCATTTAAGCGTGCAAATGGATCTTTGAGTGTTCAGGGTTCTAAAGAGAACCATTGCCTTTACCAAAGAGCCCTTGAAGAACCATTTTTAAGAGTGTATTTTGGCAAACAGAGAGCATTTTGTTGTTACAGGAATCTAGAACGGCTTCATCTTCTGTTTTTGACATTATTCACCCCAAATTGTATTCGTAACTCTCAGGTACATTAAGCAAATAACTAAAAAGGCAGTATACATATATTTTCAAATGTATTTGATGAATATAGTTGATGTATTTATTTTCCATAAACACTGTAGTTCAGAGTCCTCAATGTTTCATTTAAAGGGATATTAAGTGTTACATTATGAGTTTGTTTCCTGTACAGGAATTAAGCCCATTTAGGACTGCAGGTTCTTTTCAGTGAAGAATCTCCATTCAGGACACTGTGTAGTCCAGGACAAACCTTAATCCCTTAATCCCTGTCTGGGAGACCTGGGAAACAACAGGAAATGTCATACTTTACACTTTACACTTTGCCTGTACCTAAGTGGACGTTCAGGGGTTGGCAGTAAACATTAAAATATACTAAAATCAGTGTTGGAGCGATCTGTTCAAGATTAGGCCCATTACAAGCATGACATTTTAGCTGATGAATTATTGTAATAAACGGACACAAATAACAGTTACAAACAGTCATATTGTTGTATAGAAGATAAAAAATCATCAGTATGTTTGGTATTTCCAAACTTTTAAACGCTACTGCACATACACTAGCTACGTTGGCTGTTCGTTCGCAGTTGTTCTGAGAGCATTTGGATAATGTTACTCTAGAGCAGAGGTCACTAATAGGCGGACGCTGTTTTATGCGGACCTGGACCTATAACCGATAAAAAGTGTGGAAAATTATTTAATTTTGATGGGGTGGTCCTATTTTAAGCGCTGTAGCTTTTCTAGCCTTTACGGTGCGTTGTAAATATCACATGTGACGTCAGCCAATCAGATTTGTGTATTATGTTTAGCACTGAGACTCGAGTGACGCACACACAGGGGAGGGACGAGGCGGGAAACAGCAGTCAGAGAAGAAAGTGAGTCAGAGGAAAGTTATTTCACATGGCGTGCTCTAAAAAGAGAAAAGTGACTGAAAATAAATAAATGAATATTGTTGAAATCACTGAATTGTACTTTATTTGATTTGACATTCAGTTGTTGACTGTATAGGATGTCGATATACCTACTAGGCTACTTCAGCTTACAATATATGGCACTGAGTCATAATGCTAGTTAGACATTATGATGTTCCAGACCTTTGCTTGAGGATATTTACTTCAACTGGACCTTATTGAATTTTAATTAAATACCCCTGCTCTAGAGTGTCCTGTCTTCTGTTTGGGTCTTAATGACCTGTTCATGATTCTGTTGATTGGAGATAAAGAACCAGAGAAAAGACCAAAGCCTGGACAATTCTGATCTCTGTTTGTAGGAACATACTATTATGTTTAATCGTCCTTGTTCTGCTGAGTGCCAATCTGTGGCATTTTTCTTGACTGTTGTATGGTTAGTAGGGGCGCAACGGATCACAAATCTTTTACCCATGGTCTTAAATTAAACCAACATTCAAGGTGTCTGGTGTTAACATAAAATCCTAAAGTAAAATAGGCAATACTCAGTTTTTAAATTAAAGTGCAGTATGTGGCATAATGATACCTTCTTCATTTGAACAACACTGAATGAAAAATAGACTTTGTCCACACCTCCAACAAAAAGTAAAAAAGAAATAAAGCATAACTGAGGATATCTGCGTTGTCTAGAGAGAGGGTAGACCTCTTTGTGGTCACTGTGTACCCTGCTGTGGAGAACAACCTCTTGCTAGGAACTGCCAAGCACAGCTTTTCCACCATGCCAGTGTATCACCATCCACTGGAATGCCACTAGCTACCTTGTAGGATGCCACCTTCTCTTTGATGGTGTTGGCAAATGTCTTGCCAGTGTCCTTGCTCGTAGAGGTCTCCTGGTGTGTCTGATCCATGTATGTACTCTGGCATAGGGCAGGGTCTAAGTGAGACAGGGACTTGAACCTTGCCATGTAGATTAGGGGGGTCAGTGTATCTTGGGTTCAGGTCCTCTCTAATGGCACCCTTGACATCTCTAGCGATGGTGCTGTCTTCCTCACTTGAGGCCATGGATTGTAAAATCCTTGTTTTTTTTTAAGGTAGGATCACAGATGGTGCAGTTTCAGTGCACAATAGGGTTGTAACTGTTTTGAGGGGCTATTCAACTAACAATTTTGTAGCTTTTTCCATTAACAGTTCATATTTTTGTCTCTTTCTTTGTCTTTCCCAGAAGTTGTCTTCTGCTCCAAGTGTGCCCAGCTCAAATTGAACTCAACAAACACATCAAAAGATGCCACCAAGTTGAGTGTGTCAGACTGCTGAGATTTGGAGAGTTAATATGACGATATGGCGTGCAGAAGAAGCACCAGTCCACCTCCAACAACCTCTGGCACTCTCCTTTTTAAGATGTCTCGCAGGAGAACGCAAAGCAAAAGAGACAAAGAGAAAACTCACCAGTGCTCGGACTGCGGGAAGAGTTTTAATCAACAGAGTCATCTCCAGACACACCAGCGCGTTCACACAGGAGTGAAACCGTATCATTGTTCAGACTGTGGGATGAGTTTTAATCATCAGGGTACGCTCCAGACCCACCAGCGCATTCACACAGGAGAGAAACCGTATCATTGTCCAGACTGTGGCAAGAGTTTTAATCGGCATAGTAGTCTTCGACAGCACCGGCGCATTCACACGGGAGAGAAACCGTTTCGCTGCTCAGCGTGCATGAAGAGTTTTAGTCGGCAGAGTAGTCTTCAGCTGCACGAGCGCACTCACAGCGGAGTGAAACCGTATCCCTGCTCAGACTGCGGGAAGAGTTTCAATCATCAGAGCAACCTGCTAAGGCACCAGCGCATTCACACAGGAGAGAAACCGTATTACTGCTCGGAGTGCGGGAAGAGTTTCAATCAGCCAGGTAGTCTCCAAACGCATCAGCGCATCCACACGGGAGAGAAGCCGTATTACTGCTCGGATTGTGGGAAGAGTTTTAGTCAGCAGAGTAACCTCCAGCAACACCAGTGCGTTCCCTCAGGAGACAACCCCTATCCCTGCTCAGACTGCGGGAGGAGCTTTAATCATCTGAATGGTCTCCAAACGCACCAGCGCGTTCACACCGGGGAGAAACCGTTTAACTGTTCAGACTGTGGCAAGAGTTTTAATTATCAAAGTCATCTCCAGCTGCACCAGCTGATCCACACCGGAGAGAAACCATTTCTCTGCTCAGACTGTGGGAAGTGTTTTAATCGAAAGAGTCATCTCCAGACACACCAGCTCATTCACACAGGAGAGAAACCGCATCACTGCTCAGACTGTGGGAAGAGTTTTAATCGGCGGAGTAATCTCAAAGCTCACCGGCGCATTCACACGGGAGAGAAGCCGTATCGCTGCTTTGAATGTGGACGAAGCTTCAGACAAACGAGGAGTTTAAAGAGACACGAGTGCGCTAAGAAGAAAGTTGAAAACTCATGATGTGATGAGTTAGTGAGATATAATTTTGTAAAGGTTAACCCGAATTATGTATCATTTATCATATACTTTTCTCTCTCACCCCAGATTTCACCTGCTAATACATTTTTGATGCTTGAAATCTGCTGAAAGATTATTCGTTTTATGTCAGAATCGCAATTGAGGAGTGCAATTTTCAAATCGCAAGAGCTTGAATGTTTTAAAGTATGGTCTGTATTATATTACAACATTATCTTAAGTTTAAATTTATCCTAAGAACAGAGCTTGAACTACCTGTAGAGGAACTAGACCAATCAGAGGCAACCAAACATCACAACATCAGTGACATCACAACCACAACTTACTGACAGTCTGGCACACTACATTCAGGGTTCAATCCTCAGGCCAGAAAAGGATATTCTGGTTTTCTTAGCCAAAACAAAAGGCATTTGTATTTTCTGATTTCTAGAAAACATCCACATCCACATCACAGTTGCAATATTAGTCAGAATTGCAATTAGACATTTTTTTCCAAATCATTCAGCCCTACAAACAAGTAACCTAAGCTTATACCCCATCATACTAACGCTGTGTATGCCTAAATTGTTGTACACTTGCCTCCACATACATGGTTTGGCTGAATAATGACATTCGTATATTAACAGTTTCATAGTAGACATATCATTATTTTAGCATCAGCTAAAGTATCTGTTGATCAATGATATCCAACACTCCCCTTTTCAAGAGCTACTGTCCTGCAGAGTTTTGGTGTGGTCACTGGTGCATCTAATCCAGCCAATCAGGAACTAATATAGAAGTTAATTAGCTGGAGCAGGTGTGGCAGATTGTGGTTGGAACTAGACTCAACAGGATGGTAGATCTACAGGAGGAGGGTTGGAGACTACTGGTATATATACATGCCACATAATAGAACAAAAAAAGGAAACCTGACTTTGCGATCAATTCTTTTTGTGAGAATTCTTTTTGTCTGTTGATGAAGTAAGTACAGCCCTGGCTTTGGGAGATTGGTATTCTGATCTGGGCTTTGACTATGCCATTCCACAACCTCCATTTCCTCCTTTTGAACCATTCCTTGGTGGATTTACTTGTATGTTTGGGATCATTATCCTGTAGCATAGTCCACTTCTTCAGCTTCAGTTTTTTGGCAGATGGTCTGACGTTGTCCTCAAGCACTCCCTGATATGAAAGAGTATTAATTCATAGTCGATTCTGTGATTGCAAGTTGGCCAGCAAAGCAGCCCGAAACCATAACACTGCCACCACCATGCTTTACAGTTGTTACAAGATTCTTCTGATCAAATGCTGTCTTTGGTTTTTGCTGATCATGGCTTCTGGTACTGTGACCAAACAACTCTATCTCTGACTTGTTTGTCTATAGCACATTGTTCCAGAAGTCCTGGTCTATGCCTAGGTGTCGGCAAACTTTAGCCTTGCTTTGATGTTCGTTTTAGACAGCAAATGCTTCCTCCTGGTGCAGCTCCCATGTATGTCAAATTATGACTTTGACATCCAACTTTGACAACCACAGTGGCAAGAGCTACCTGCAGATTCTGTGATGAAATTCTGGGATTCTTAAAGCATCTTAAGGTCTGCTCTTGGGTTAAATTTGCTGGGGCAGCCTGGCCTGGATATGTCAGCAATAGTTTGAAATCTTCTTTATTTGTAGATGATCTTCTGGACAGTGGAAGGATTGGTTTCTAATATTTTGGAAACACTTCTCAAACCCCTTCTCAGACTCATAGTCATCTGCAACCTTCTTTCTGAAGGCCTCAGAGAGCTCCTTTGGTCTAGGCATGATAATACCCCAAACTCCAATAACTAAAGAGCTGATCAGATATCTGTTTAAATAAGACAAGTTCCTCCAAGTTATTCTCTAATAGTGTTCTGATCATTAGCAACTAAACAAATGCACCTGATTTTAATTTGGCACATTTAAGACAGTGATATATGTAGGGTTGTACTTTTTTTCATATCAGGAAACTGCATTTATGTTTATTTCAGTTATATAAACGATGACAGAAACGTTAATTGTAGATCTCACTTGTTAAATTATATCACCTTTATCCATCAACATTGTTTGAATGAAGACTGGATATGTGTATGTCCAAATATGCTGGAAAAGTCTGTTTTATGGGGTGAACGTACTTCTTTACATAACTGTATAGCACTATTCATAATGTACACTGTCTGCATCTAAGTGTAATCGATGACTTGTCCCATTTACCATCTATTTCTCAGCCTTTAGGTGATAATCACTATACAGCGCTCCATAACTGTGGTCATATAATGGATTAAAAATGGAAAATATTCAAAAAAGACACAAACTGCAAGTTTTTGGAATCGATTCCTAATATACTAAGTCACAGGTTCATAATGATTAGCATAAACTTGGAAGATCTGTAATGAGTAATTCCTAAATGTGTAGCCTGCTAATTAGCTCAGTTAATGGAAAGACATTATTCACAAGCTTTAAACTAAGTTAAGTAATGGTCAGCTTAACAGACAGCTAGAGGACTTTGACATTGCTAGTATTACTAATTTTGGCCAGTTTTTGCCAACATCTTTCGCACTTCATTCATCTTGAGTAACCTGCACAGGTAAGGAGGACAGGATGTCATGTATGCTCTGCTTCTTTCTACCTAACCTAGTGAAGCTGGTGGGACAGCAAAACCACTAGGGTCTAAACTAGAGGTCGTCAGTCTTCAAATCTGGACCTTGAATCCAGTCTCTGGTCCTGTATTTGATAATGAGTGGCAGTTAACTGAACTATTGATGGAACTCATTGTAAGTGTCGGAACCTGGATTCAAGGTCTAAATTTAGAAAGATGGCTAAATTTAAAAAAGATGGTTATTTAAGGGTTCATTAGTAAAGACAGTGGTTCTGTATAGAACCATGAACAATCAAAGAACTATTTGCATGATCAGAGGGTGAAATGGTTCTTCAGATTGATGGAGAATGTGTTGTATTTGGTTCTTTATAGAACCTATTTAAAAAGGGTTCTACAGGTACAAGCTTGGCATAGTAACAATAGTAGAACCCTTTTTGATGCTACAAAGAACCATATACAACACATTCTTCATCAATCTGAAGAACCATTTTACCATGCAAAGAACCCTTTAATCATGCAAATGGTGTTTGATTGTTCATGGTTCTGTACAGAACCATTGTCTTTACTAAAGAACCATTCTATAGCCATCTTTTTGTATAAGTGTATAATCCACCCCTCCCATGTTTTTTAGTTTACTCAACGAGATTAGGATCATTTTTTGGTATTGACTTCTGATAAATTGAATATTATGTTGTATTTTTCATATTTTTATTATATTAATAATTTGTCAAACTTTTGGTTAATTATTTTTTCCTTATCTTTTTGGATCCCTAGTGATTAAGATGTTTAACTGAACACTTTAAATTAGATATACTATGTGTATCGTTCTTTCAAAACATGCAGCACTGTTTTGGTTAGTTGCTTATTTAATAATTGATAATGTACCAATATATGATTATTGTGATACGCTTTGATGTACATGGATAAACTGGGTTCCTTACTTTAATTGTATTCTTCTGTCTCCTGATTTTTATTTCACGTAGTACAAAAATGAGTGTACTTGTATATAATGCGCAAGCACAAATCCCATAGCTGATCATGTCTTTTGCATATTCATTAGAAGACCAACTTTTAATTGGTAGCTTTGGTTTGGTTTCTACGCACGATCCAATTCATTTCTTGTTATAGCTGACTTTTGTACTGTAAACAATTGATCATAAACTATAAGCACCTATAAAAACTAAGAGATTCACTGTCATTATAACACTTACTGTAGCAGTTGCTGTAATTTCTGTTTATTGTTAAGGAGCTTTCCTGTACTAGTTTGACTGATCTGCACCCACACACATAAACACACCTTGAGGGTGACTGAAAGGTAAGATCAGTATAATCGGGATCATGTTGGGTTCAGTTAACATGTTACTACCTACGTAAAACTGGGATTTCTTGATAACCAGGGTCATCTTATCAATATATCCTGCTTCCAATATTTCACTGCATGTGTGATCTGTTCTTATGTAATGCAGTCTGTAAATAAATATTCCTAGATCAATATGTGGCATGTTTTGATAGTTTTAATTGTCTAAAGTACTTTTTAGTAATTTCTTCTTATTAGTAACTGTGGTAATTTTAAATGAATGACAATCTATAATACATATTTGGTAACTTCATTAGTCAAAGATAATGCGCTAAACTCAGGCTAACGCTCGAACCGCGGACTAACGTGCTGAACTCAGGCTAACGCTCTAACCACTGGCTAACGCGCTAATGTCAGGCTAACGCTCTAACAGCGGGCTAACGTGCTAAACTCAGGCTATCGCTCTAACAGCGGGCTAACGCGCTAAACTCAGGCTACCGCTCTAACCACAAGCTAACGCGTTAGACTCAGGCTAACGCTCTCACAGCGGGCTAACGCGCTAAACTCAGGCTAACGCTCTAACTGCGGACTAACGCGCTAAACTCAGGCTAACGCTCTAACTGCGGACTAACGCGCTAAACTCAGGCTAACGCTCTAACTGCGGACTAACGCGCTAAACTCAGGCTAACGCTCTAACTGCGGACTAACGCGCTAAACTCAGGCTAACGCTCTAACTGCTCTAACTGGTATTTATTAATATTAGTATTTAGTCTATATTCAGATCTTAAAAATACAAAATGCTTTGCTCTCATAAATATGTTTTTATCTCCTAGAGTCCAGATAAAATCTATATGTCAACCCATTTGCATTACCACTGGTAAAAATGCAATATAATAACCAATAATAATTATTATTATTATTCTGTACTTCTGAAAGTAGTTTGCTGATTGGCTGTGTTCTGTATTCATGTTACTAATTCGAGCTTCTGCAACTCATTGTGGTCAATAAATACTAAACATTGTTATATTCCAGGTATGCATGTATCCCTCCACCATGAATGGAGTTTAAGTTCTCTAAACTATCATAAAACAGTGTCTCAGTCATCAGGCAGTGAATTCATAACCATTTCATGTAGTAACTTTCTGTGAGGGAGCTTTTAGAGGTGGACGTCTGGTTCCTATCACCACCACTGTGAACAGTTCTGACTCGGTAAGTTTATCTAGAACTGAGCGTTTCACACCAAACTGCTCTGAACCACTGTGAACCGCTCTGAACACCTCTGAACCACTGTGAACCAGACTTCGGAGATCCCCTGCTGTAATTAACCAATTAACTAATAAACAAATTTACTAATTAACATTAGTAAATACATACTTACGAATCACGAATCTTTAAATATCGCATCAGAACTGTGTTGTGGTGTTGTGATAATATCATAACATGGGGCCTCTAGTGATTCCCTCCCCTAGTAAATGTACCCACCTCCAGCAGCTCAGTCTTGTGAGGTTTAAGCCACACCCATTTTCAGGACGTGTTGAAAAATGTGTGAACAGTACTTAGTCCAAGCAACCGGTTCGAATACGTTTCCTGCTGCTCCACACTGAGAGCTACAGTGCTTTCATTTATTCTGAGAAATAAATGCAACTGAAACCACGCTAGCAAGCTAGCAGTCTGGAGCAGGAAACACTGGACTGCACCCGGCAGGCATTCCGGTCCTGCCCTTCAAGGCTTCTAACCTACAGTTGACTGGTAGATAATTGTAGGATGCTTGTCCAAAATATCTTCACCAAACATTAGAAGTGTTCTAACTAAAATGATGCCATACTGGGTGTTTAAAGTACAATGGGAGTTAGGTTGACATAGTTTGAAAATGCCTGAATCTCTTTACATTGTGTGTAAATTTCATGATGAATGGACCAAAAGAAACAACCCAGAATTACTTGGAAAAACCTTTGGTTCCATTGACTTACATTAAAAGTAAAGTAGGTTTTTTCCTTCTCCTGTAAAGTTACCATTTTGGAGATTATCATGAATATATATATGTGTGTGTGTGTGTACATTTTTTATAAAGTGGACGTGAATGTCCACTAACACCTTATTTTTATATTTCTGATCAAAATAGTTAGCTGTCTTGGCGGCCATAAAATGTGTCTTTTTTCAGTTTTAACCTCTTTTCACAGCAGCCATAAAATGTAATTTCCACTATTTGTGTTTTGAAGCTCCCTCAGATTTTGCGCGATGCCATTTTAAAAAAAATTAATGGAATATATATTTACAGAAATTGTGTTCAAATGCTATGTTTATTGTATTAGTTGTACAGAATAGTCTGATATGAAGAAAGCTGCAGGTGTTTGTTTTAATCTCACTACGGCCGTTTTTGTGGAGAGGTGTAAACTGTTTTTCACAGTATGGGGTTCTCACCCCTCCCTTTCACCCCTCATTGCTCACTAGCAGCTCAACACAGTCTGAACATTTCAGAGTCCTAGTTCATCTGATAACAGAGTTACAGGGAAAATACATTTTATTTCATTATGTTAATCAATAATATATCCAAATTGATTTCCATTTCAATGGTAAATGGTCACTAGGGGGCACTGCAGAAAGATGTAAAATTACACAGTAAAGACTAAAAAGCTAAATGTCATCTTCTTTTCTACGGCTAGTAAAAGATTTTTTCCAGCTCTTACAAGACGTCTTGAATACGACCACAAAACTATCTCTTCTACGTCCTGAGAAAACATATTAAAAACATTCACTTTGGTTAAAATCTAGTTTTTATGCTTTTTAGATGTTTCTGCACTCAGTTTAGTTATATATTCACAATTATCAAAACTACTAAAACCACCCCCCTCCCTCCCTCCACCAGTTATCATACAGGAACAACCTGAAACCAAAACCAGCAGGAAAAAAAACTCACTCTTTACACACCTTCTGTCTAAAACAGTAACAGTTCACTGCAGGTTGATGCATCTTCAGGACTTTATTTATCAGTAATGATCAATACAGTTTATTTGATTGATTTAAAACACATTTAACTAAATCTTTCTCTTGCAAGATTGTTACCGCTTCTCTGACGAAATGTCTGCGGAGAAAATAATTCAATCGGTGATTTATATCTGTGATATATGTTCATATATATACTAGTTTACAGTAAAGAAAAAAAAAAGTGGACGCTGGCCTGTGCAGCGGTCGGCTAAACATGCTGTGTTTAGGCCGGAGAGGAAAACGACATTCAAAAGAGAAGAGAAACCTTTTAGCCACTGTGGGTTAAATCAGTAGATGAGCTAATGCTAATGCTAACAGTAATAGAATAACTGAAGACTTAGTGAGAAGACACTGTTCTGACAGTTTATTAGGTACACCTTCTGCCTCTTACTTGTCGTTTTATCTTCTGCACTAAATAAACGCTGAACCTACATACCAGGTTAGAAACCTTGCTGGACTAAACACGGAGACTAAACTACAGTAAAGAGGAACAAACGATGAACAGAGACAGTGAGTGTGTTTACATGCACTCAATAATCCAATCATAATTGGGTTTCTGCAGTTATCCAGTTATTCAAAAGGTCCTGTAAACACCATACTCCGATCTAGAAATCTGATTAAGAAATCTGACAATTAAGATTACTGACAAAATCAGATTTTCTGCAGTTATCGAATTATTAAGTACATGTAAACGCAGTCAGCGTCGACTCTAACATGCGAACTTGAGAGCTATTTATGCTGTGAGAAACTATTGACAACTATTTTCATTTGGTTCTAGGTAAAAAAAAGTGTAAATGCTCTAAGTGTAAATATCTGTTGAGTTTCAGGGTTTAAGCCCAGTAGGAGACGTTAATCACCCACTCCAGGTTATATGTTTATATCGATGCACTGTTTAACTACTTCGCCTGAACTGATGCAAAGATGACACTCATAAGGGTCACTGTCAGAGCTACGGGAAAGAGGGCTACGGGAACGGTCACGATCACGGGAATGGCCAGGCTTAGGGGGATGATCACGATCACGGGAATGGCCGGGCCTAGGGGAACGGTCACGGCTGCGGTCAGAGTCAGATTTATGGACAGGGTAACAACGATAGAGTGGCACTTCATTTATTTTTTTTAGGTATTCCTCTAGATCAAAGTTACGCTTATCATAATTAAATATCCGATTGTAGACAAAAGCTGTTGGACCTTGGTGCCCTGTAAAAATATAAAGGGCATCAAGAATGTTCCGGTCTCCGTCCTCGTGTAAGCAGGTACCTATACAGGGGGAGTTGTAGGTGTAGAAGATCACACAGCCGTCTTTGTTTTTGTTCAGGAGATTCTTCATGGGGGAGTGTTCTGGATCTGGCTCCCTCAGGAGGAGGTACTCTGAGTGGTAGAACCCTTTGTTGTTGCTTGATTTTCGCAACGCACCAATCAGCTCTTTTCCTTGATACAGCTTGTTAACACCGTTCATGTCCCTTTTCGCAGCATCTGGTTTGTCGTTTTTAAGGAAGCTGCCGTCATCGAGATTAGAGCCTGCAGTGCAGTAACGAGCTGGGACGTTGATGGCCACTGCAAACTGATCTCCTTGCTTTGGACTGTACCTAAACACATAAAGAACTGCTCAAGCACAAGAGCTCAAAGAGTTTTATTTAATATTTTTTTCATTTCATTTAATATTTTTTTTATTTCATATTCTTTTTCATATTTAATATTTTTGTGTAACTATCAAACATATCACTGCGGAACAAAACCTCGTATCTCCAAAATGGTAACTTTAAAGGAAAAGGAAAAAACATACTTTACTTTTAATGTAAGTCAATGGAACCAGAATTTTTTCCAAGTCATTTTGGGCCGTTTCTTTTGGTGCATTCATCATGAATCAGATAATGTAAAGAATATCAGGCTTTTTCAAATCATGTCAAAAATTGAAAATTGAGATACAAGGTTTTGTTCCAACAACAGCTATAATTAAAGTAAGGTGTTAAGCAGGTGTTGGTAAGTGTCGTCTTACTCTTTCTGAAGTTTACTGATGATGCGAGCCAGAGCGTTCTGGTCCACATCAGCTTCAGTCCCTCTCAGACAGAGAGAGAGAAGACAGAGCAGGACCACTTTCAGAGTTCCACTGAGAACCTGCAGAGATCAGTTACACGCTAAATAAGTATGCTCCATGTGTTAGAAGCTACAGTCACACTTCAGGTCTGCCATTCATGTCACCTTGTGAAATGAGTGTGGCTGGAGCGGAAGTCGGCTAACTCGGCAGCCATAAACAGTAAAAAATACAAAGGTAAACATAATCATAATCATAGCAGATCATTTTATACTTGCCATAGCACAGTTCTGCACATAAAAAAAATTTGTGGATTACTTAACAGTTAGCACATTCGCTTACCCAAAAGCCACAAAAAGCTATTCAAAAATGCAGATTCACATGTCAAAGTTCACCAAAGCTGAACTCAACATGACATTCCATGTATCCACGCTAGAAGTCTGAATCGCAAAACCACTCACTGCTTCAAATTCCATTGAAATGAATGTAATTTCGCTCCCAGAACTAAACAGAGAAACTGTGACTCGTTTGTTTGCTGAACTGTTGGTTTCTGGCTGATTTCAGTTCGTTTAGTTGTTCCGAAAAGCTTGCTTAGGATCAACAACATGTCATTCCACCAGGGGTGCCAAAACTTTTGCATACGACTGCAAACAACTTCTGTGAGACAATATTCGAGCTGGTCAGATTCTGAACAGAATCTGAAGAATAGAGTGAAAAACAGTGTAAAACAGATTGATTACAGCAAGATCACATTGACCTTCACCTGGAAACACTGAAAAAGCTGAGCTCAACCTGATATTCATACAGTCTTATGGCTCTATCTGTAACGCAGAAGGGATAGGTCTGCCAATATCAAAGCACGTTTGATGGAATATTTGGGGCTTCTTTGCTTTGCTTTGTTCTACATTTAGCAGAATAGTTGTATAAAAGTAACAGGACACAATATATTGCATGTTGTGGTGTATAACATCCCGCTGTGTTATGGTGAGTAACATGGCTGTGATTCGGTCGTGTCATCACAGCCATGTTACTCACCATAACACAGCCCCTCTCGTGCTCTAATGCTTAATTGTATCATCTGATCGAATAGTTTAAATTTTGTCACCCTCAAATGAGAAAAATGATTAAGTGATATGATTATATTACTAATTAATAAAGAGAGCGATTACTTACCATGTTGTTACGCTGTAGCTGCTGCTTGGCAGGTTTTTCAGAAGCAAGCACATGCAGTATTTATAAACACTCCCTGGCCAGAAAAAAAAGAACAGTTATAGATTACTCAATAATTTCTAATACCTACACAAAACACTTTCTGTTCTCCTTTCCAGAAAATACTGCTGTTGCAACTTTTCTTAGAAGAGGATGGTGGAGTCTGCAACAGGGTATTGTGTCACTGTCAGGTCATTTGCTAAGCTGCAAAATCCTACTGTGCTCAACATAATATTTTTCATCTTATGGAACATACATATGCCGAGTGGTCACTTCATTAAGTCCACCTCCTTGTATCTACACTCATTGTCCATTTAATCAGCTCCACTGACTGTATAGTTTCACTTTATAGTTGTACAGTTACAGACTGTAGTCCATCTGTTTCTCTGTGTCCTTTTACCCTGTTCTTCAATAGTCAGGATCCCCACAGGAGCCCCACAGAGCAGGTACTATTTGGGTGGTGGATCATTCTCAGCACTGCAGTAACACTGACGTGGTGGTGGTGTGTTAGTGTGTGTTGTGCTGGTCTGAGTGGATCAGACACGGCAGTGCTGCTGGAGTTTTATTCAGTATCCACTGTGAATTATTTACATTTATGGTGTTTGGCAGATGCTGTTATCCACAGCGACTTGCAATTTGATCATTTTTGCAGAGGTAGGCGAAGGTACTAGTGTTAGGGGTCTTGTCCATGAACTTTTGGGTATTAGTATAGTGTTGGGTGCTAGCCCAGTTGCTAGCCACTCCTGGCTGCAGCATGGAGGGCACAGGTGTTACCCAATTATTCAGTATCTGCTATGAATTATTCAGTTACTACTTTGACTCATTTAGTATCAAATATCTAATATGAATTATGGAGTAACTACTATGAATTATTCAGTTTCTGCAATGAATTATTCAGTATCTACTATAAATTATTCAGTATCTTCTATTAGTATATATAAGAACCTACTATAAAACGATTGTGTACATTTTGTAGGTAGAAGAAGACTGGACCCACATACAGACTTTCAGAGTTAAACCCAGTCAAACCAAACATTTCGCTGGTGATCCATTTGTGGTGTTTGAAGTTTTCCACTTTAACTGATGCAAATTTTCTTCAGAGTGTTCATTCACATGTTAAAGTAGGGAGAGTGGGTTAAATGCCACAAATAGACCCTTTCTTGTCTTGAATGTGAAGGGTTAAGGGGTTAAGGAGAAACGAGAATATACGATTCCATAGAATTTCTAACTTTGGAACTGAAAAACAGTGAGTGAAAATTTGAAAATTTGCCAAACCGCACCCATATACAGCATAAAGCTGAAAAAGAGAAGCTGACAAGTTGGTGATCACGTTATGATCAGATGCACTGATAACACAACTCTGTTCACCAGAAACACATATTACTATAATGTGGCTCTTTGTTGAGTTAGAATTTGTGGGCTGAATCGTAGACTCCCAAAGCAGGAGTATTTTCCCAGAGTGGCAAAGTTAAACTCGTTCTGGCTCTGAAGCTAGTTATGGGAAAAGCTCTCTTGTAGACTGAAATCAGGAAAGATAAACAGCATGATTACTGTCATGCTGTTCTCCTGCAGCTCACAGCAGCATCGGGTTCGACATGGCTTCAAATAACGACACTGTCATTGTAGAAAAGCATTCTGAACGAAACTGAAGTGCCACATGCAGTAAATGCAGTGTTAAACGGAAAGAGGCAAAACTACACTCTTATAAAAGATAGTTCTTCAAGAGTTCTTTAATAAACACAATGGTTCTACGTAGAACCATGGACACCCAAAGAATACTTAAATGGTTCTTTGCATGGTGAAATTGTTCTTCAGATTGAAGGAGAAAGTGTTGTATGTGGTTCTATGAAAAAAGTTCTATATAGCACCAAAAAGTTTCTGCTATTGTTACAAAAAATGCTTTTTGGTGCTATAAACAACCCTGTTTCCAAAAAGATAAGATACCATGTAAAACGTAAGTAAAAACAGAACGCAACAGTCTTTCAGTGTGAGTGAGCAGGATTAAACAGCTGTAGGCCGAGTAGGTAGATGTATGTAAATGTTGTTTGTCATCACATCACAAAAACAGTTCATTCTAAACTGTTTTTGCTTCTTTTCCATGTATGGACTGAAGAGTGAACGGTATGTTTTGAAACTTTTACAATTTTTACATACTGCATAAAACAAAACCATTGGGTCCCACTATATGTGCCCTTTAAAATAAACTAGGAAGCCTTTAAAAGTCATGTAAAAATATAATAACTCCATTTGAGTGTATCATTCACTTTTATAGTCTTCTCTTCCTCTACACTGACAAACAATCCCTGGTGATTCACCCAGAAAGTCAATATTAATAGATCTTTTTTTTTAGGCAAGGCAAGTTTATTTATATAGCACATTTCATACACAAAGGCATTTCGATGATCTTGACATCAATAAAAGCCAAAGGAACATCAAAAGAAAAATAAGGACAAAGTGTTTAAGAATGAAAAACAGAAAAAATGAAAGTTTTCATTCATTTTAAATTTTCAATAATAAAGCTCATGTCATTGTGAGATCTAACGCCTCAGAAAGGCATTTGCTAAGATAATTATAGAAAGATGAAATGAAAATGAAAATTAAAGTGCTAAAGATAAAGACAGTAAAACAGAATTCTAAAATAAGGGATTAAAAGAAATTGAAATAGTGTTAAATAGCTTTTGTGTTGAACGCCAGCGATGCCACAGCCATCCGTAAGTGGAAGCATCCAAGCTGGTCCTCAAGAAAAACCAGTGTAAAAGTGAGCTTGTTGCTGAAGGTTGAGCTATTTCCATTTTCTACAGCGTTCTCTGAGACGGACAGTGAAAACCTCTACATTGTGTCTTTCTACAGAGCAATTATGCCTTGATCCACAAGGTGGCGACAGGCAAAACCATTTCCCCACAGCACTGTGTGCACTGTAGGCTTTTTGCTGGATGATTTGCACTTTTTTTGCTTCAGGCAGAAACAGCACAGATACAGCATGTGTTCAATTCAGTTGCAGAATAGAGCCTAATATCCGTTTTGGGTTAAAATTACTGATAACGCTGTTTCTGTGTTTTTATCTTGATTAGACTAAAACCTCACTGTGTATGAAAGTGCTTACGCTATACATTAAACAGCACCTGTTTCCCTTCTTCCCTTTATTTTATTCATTCTCTGACCTGATTTTAAACTTGTTATAGTGTTCACTATGAATAAACACTGTGAAAAGAACTGAATTAAATTCCACATGAATAAAATCAGGGCTGTTTCTTGCGATAAGCTGTTGTTTAGACCCTTCCAAGCCAGCAGAGGGCCCCACAAGGATATATGTTTCTTAATGCATCATTTTTAACCTTTTTTTCTGAGCCCATGCAGTGATTACCACTACAGAATCGTGTCTGTTTTAATGCAGTGCTGTCTGAAGGCCTGAAGATCACAGCCAGCCAGTACTGGGTTTTTGGCCTCGTCCCTCACATATAGAGATTTCTCTGGATTTTCTTAATCTTTTAATGATATTATGTACAGTAGATGATGAAATCCCCAAGTTCTTTGCTATTTTGCATAGAATTCCAGGTGTTACTCAGATGTATGTTTCCAGAAATGTTTAGTATCCTGTTATTTTAACCTGCTTCAATCATCTAAGCATTTGTCTTAAAATCAGGAGACTGAGTTTGAACCCCAGTGATGCCACAGGCCTCCGTAAGCGGAAGCATCCAAGTTGGCTGTTGCTTGGAGCCCCCCAAGCCAGCAGAGGGCCCCACAACTATGTATATAACATTGATTTGTGGATCATTCTTGCATATAGAGTTATACAGTTGGGGTGGGTTGGGAGCTATTCAGAAACAACTCTATATAAAATGAAAAACTTTTTTCGTGATAAAATGATTCACATTTGAATGAAGCAAATTCAGTGCCGCACTTTAATCACTGTGTTATATCATCGCTGTCCAAAAAAGGGAAAATGTAACTCCATTTTTGTCTATCTTTCATTTTCTGTATTATTTGGGAACACTTCCTGAAGAATGGACCAACAGGAATGCTAATAAATGCTAATAACACGTATTTACATTAACTTGAAAAGTTAAGAACGTTTTTGGCTTCTCATGTAAAGGTGCTAGTTTGGAGATGCATGTTTTTCTTCGGACAGTGACATCATATAACTTTTCACCTGGAAAAACTTATTTAAGATTCACAATCAGACCTTAAAACCACTGTTGTACCTTTGAGGAAACATTTACACTGTTTGTACCTTGATGAACGAAAAATGTACCTGAACAGAACCTTTATTAATAACAGTGTAGAGCTGCTTTTCACTCTACACTGTGTTGGAAAAGGAAGAGAGCTGATGTTTACATATGAAACTACGAGGCTGATGATGTCACTGAAGGTGGACCGGTCAGGCGGGTTTTTGGGTTTCTGTTGAGGCTTCTTGTGCCGCAGCGCTCAGGAAAGTGTTTCATGCAAAACCTTTCTGTTTCAGTGTCGCCACAGCCGTCTGAGTTCTAATATAGCGTCGAAACAGAACAGCTGAGCTCTGAGGCTGCTGGTTTTAAACAGGGTTTCTTTAACTCCTTAAAATTACAGAGTCATTACCGTAATTCTGCCACAATACTAAAATGCAATGTTAGAGTCCCACTATGTCTCACACAGTTACGTATTGAATTGCATTTACTTTCTCGTTCTGTATCAACAAGTTCAAGTCAAGCACTTCTGGCCTTCCCTGTTTTATAGTCCAAGAAATGATAAAAATCTAATTCAAATCATAATCAAATATGTTCTCTCCTGCTTACAAACACAAGCATGATATGGGTAAAGTTTAAACTCTGCATTTTCCACAGTCTCTCAGCTTTTTTCAATAAACTACCAACCAGAAATAATTCAAATAAAAATATGGCCTGATTTTGTTATTGCTGGCCAGCTGCCACTTCTTACGTCTTTCTTGCTTTTTCCAGTTTTCACTCTCACCGTATCTGCAGTCATATCTCATTATTTCTGAAAGACATTCCCTGAATACCTTTTCGCTTTTCCGAGGTTCATTCGGAGAGGTCACGGAAATTTACTGTTTCATGTAGTCTTGAAAAACTGAATAAAACTGGATTCTCGGTACTAAAATACTGTTAAAACCTCAAACACAATGCATCATTGTGGTTTATGTTTTAAAAGAGCTTTAGAAAAGCCTCCAGTTGTCACATAGATGCAGAGCTTCATTAATTTATGCTAATTATTTAATAACTCACATATAAAACTAACATAAACTGCTTCCATGTTTTGCTAACTCCATGCTAGCAGTTCTTTGGACCAGCTACCAAAGCACATTGCTAGCGAGCCTAAACTGCCTTTTATTTAGCGTATTTTTCAGAGAAATGTATTAACGGTGGAGCCCAAAATAGCGCTGTGTTCTCCTGTAAAACACTTTTGAGGTAAGATTCAAAATTTACAATTTGCAACCCAAATTCTTTGCAACATGTATTCTTAGCTAGCTAAATTAGCAAGCTAGTGATAGCAAACCAAGCTTACTTCATTCTAATGCTTGCATAGCAATGTAAAATAATTATGACTGTATCAGAAACTCATCATATTTCATAGCATAGCAGAGTAAATAATCTCTATTTTTCAAACTCCAGTCACAGTTTTTTTGAACTAATTATGAAGTCTGTTAAACTGCTTTCAAGAAAAGCAGCTTCCATGTAAATAAATGGCTTGTTAGCTGAATCTGTTTAGCTAGGTAATCTTTAAACTAGTGATAACAAACCAAGCTGTTAGCATGGGTGCTAACACCCTGCTTTGTTTTCATTATCTTACAAATTAATTTGGTTTACAGTACCTATCAAGGATGTTAGATTAGGGTTTCTTATACTGTACAGCAAATTATCTAGCTAACTTTAATTTCCTCTAAGCTCAGAAACCTGTCTTATTTTATGGGTTAGCTTTATAATTAGCTGCTATTTTTTTAGGTATTCTTTCTGTCAGCATATTACAGTGCAACTGAATTGTATCATTAGCTGATTATGAAGGCTGATGTGAACTGAATCAGGTGTCACAGTAGAGGATACATGAAACATGATGCTAGCATAGAGGCTACATAAAATTATTGTACTAAGGCTGATGGTGGCATCAGGCTTCATGGTGGTTGTATGTAAGCCAGGCTGTTTTGTTACATTAAACCTCAGAATCTCCCACTGCATTCATATCAACGTGACACTTGAGGCCCTCTGGTTGTTTTTCTCATGTCCATTTTACCATCTTGGCTGTAAATATGTCTCAGTATGTGCTGATGTCCTAAAATAGGCTGAAGAATATAATATAAATGAAAACGCAGACTTACTTTGTTCTGCTTTAAGCTTTAGCTCTGCTGTAGACCCTTTTCTCGCATCTCCAGCAGGAAACTTTTCCTCAAAAGTGGAACAGTTTCTTGTAAAATATATCTCAACGTTCGACTTCTTACGAGGCTGAAGGCGCTTCTCATTCGCCAGCTTCTTGTCTGAATTCTCCCGTTCCACCTTAAATGGTGCCTGAGGCACCAGAATGTAACTGCTGCACCATTTAAGGTGGGACGGGACAATTCTAACAAGAAGCTGGCAAATAAGAAACTGACTTCAGCTTCACGACTTTTTAGTGTTTGTCAGTTTCTCATTGCAGATTAAACGTATCAGGAAACCAGCTGGAGTGATTATAAATGCAAGTAAGTCCATTCATCCCCAAATTATCAATGCTCATCTTAAATCTCTCTCTTTGCCGTTTCATTAGCTACTAGCTAGGTGAGACGGTCTGCATTGCTATGGTGACCAGCAGTCTGCACTGATCTTCAGGGTTAAAGGGTGAATTAGCAGTTCTACATTAACTCCAGAGTTTAAGACCATTTATTGTTAAACTGTGTTGAACGATCAGCAGAGCTTTATTTTACTGTGAAGGAGGATTATTTTATTTTTACCTACAAATCTAATTCTGCTGTGGAGCCACAACAGGGCAGTAAAAGAGCCGCATGTTACTAATTTGCAATGCAAAGGGGTGAGGAATCCCTAATATAAGTATAACTAGAAGTACACAAAAGCATTTTTATTAAATGTAAAGCATCATCTGTTTAATAAACCACAACAAATGACTTAAGAAACAAATAAGTAACAATATGGGGGTTTTAATGGTATGTAGTGTAGAATATTATGCCATTATGATAGACAGAGCAGTTGAGGACTGTAGGGAGGAAATGTTGTGTCCACAGTGCTGCCTCTTCTCATTCCCTTATTTTCAAGAGCAGAGCGGTCAGTCTTGTAACCACCAGCAAACCCGCAACATTCATTTTGTTCCCAAACAAAACGAGACCTACTTTAACCCACAGGCTGGTGGCTGGTGGTAACAAAGTCATGCTGTAATTTTATATGAATTGTTACTGATTCATAGTTTATTGAAATGAGGGTAGAAATTGTGTGAAAAGTGCAGATTCTAAACGTTTAGTTCATACCACATTTGTGTTTATAAGTAGAAAATGAGATATTTTATTAGGATCTGAACTCGATGAAAAGTTATTGTTTTGCGTACGGTCCGGTTTTTACATTTTTGCCAAAGTGTCTGAATCACAGACTTGAATCTGTCCATACTCAAAAAGTCTTTAATTGCATAACTCTGCAATTAATTAGCAAAATGACAATTACTCACAACTGCTAGGGGGTAATTATTCTCTCTCAAATACCAAAAATACCAAAAAGTTCTTTCTCTTTATCCGTTAAGGTCAACACAAGTGGCTATTTATGTCATTAAATCCATTCATAAGATTTTTATTTGGATTTTTATTCTGTTTTAAACAAGCAAACACATAAATAGGAATATCCTTCACACTTCAGAGGCCTTTTACTCTTACTGAGATTAAACTTATAAGTAATAAGCATTTCCATAGTGATGTGAATTGAGTGCAGAAACTTTGCAGTGCATCCAACAGTAAAGGCAGCATGGTGCTTCTTTTATGCAGTGATAGGAAACATGGTAGCTCACAGAAAGCTCCAGTTCCACCTTCTGATCCATTTTACTGACATGCACGCTGACTAACTACTCTAGGGGATTCATATATTAATGTTTAATGTTAGGATTTACTGCCTTATGTGTAGACATCAGTATCCGACCTGTGTTCACCAACACAGGCCAGACTAGTCAAAACTTTGACTGGCCACTTTGACTGGCTTCTGAAACATTATAGAAGAAGAATCTGTGGGGATTTTTGGATCAACATTTTTAAGAACTGAACATTAGAGCCCGATGGAGATACAAATGTTGTGAGGATACTGAGTTTAAGGGGCTAATAAGGGCTGTGACACATTTATGTTAAATCCTTGATTGCAAGATCGTAGCTAAAAAATTGGGAATTTTTGGGGCAATATCATGATGTTTTTGCTATTACCAATAAAACCGCGAGACACCGACATTAGCCGACATTATCAGCCAACCTATACATCAGCCCGGCTTTACTAAAGACCCACACACCTGCTTCTACCCATCAGGTAAATCAGAGGGGCACCATGTTATACAATGTTTCAGTTGGAGAAGCCTTGTCTGAGCTGAATGCATTCCTCAGTGATGAAACTGTTTGAGCTGATAAAAAGAGAATGTTGAATCTGCCAGTTCTGTTTTGTAAAGGCTTTTGCAACTCGCAGTATCTCTGCAAACCAGTGGTACCACATAGCTGGTGCAGACGATCCCTCCTCTTCACCTCCTGCTGCATTTAAAACGCAACCGTCTCCCTCATCTCTCTCAGTCGCCATCGCCAACCCTGCTTCGCCATGCGAGGAAAGCTGGAGATCCTGGCCATGGTGCTGGGGGCCATAGGCCTGGTAGGTGTCATCGCGGTGACGGCGCTGCCCATGTGGAAGGTGACAGCCTTCATCGGCGCCAACCTCATCGTCATGGAGACACAGTGGGAGGGGCTGTGGATGGTGTGCGTGCGGCAGGCGGACATCAACATGCAGTGCAAGGTGTACGACTCGCTGCTGATCCTGCCGCCGGACGTCCAGGCGGCCCGCGGCCTCATGTGCGTTGCCATAATCCTCGCCGTGCTGGGTATCCTCGTGTCCGCCTGCGGCCTCCGTCAGACCATCTGGTGGCAAGACCACGGTCGGGGCAAGAAGGTAACCCTTGTGGCGGGGGCGTGTCTCTTCCTGGTCTCGGCCTTGGCGACACTTATCCCCGTGTGCTGGACCACGAACACCATCGTCCGCGACTTCTACAACCCCACCGTGTTGGATTCTCGCAAGCGTGAGATCGGACAGGCACTCTACATAGGCTACGCCACCGCCATGGTGCTGCTGGTTGCTGGGGTGATCCTGATCTTTCGCTGTAAGAAAGGACACAAGGTGGAGGAGGAGGAAGGGGGTTACGCTCCAGCAATGGAGGAGAGCAAGGATGTGATGTCACTGAAACGTACGCCCTCAGACTATTACAATATGAAGCAGTATGTCTGACAAGATGTCGGTCTTTTAGTCTTTTTACTGAATCTACTCTTATAATTATGCTATTTATGTAATAATGAAATATAGTTTATCATCAGTGACATTAAAACCCTGTCGTCTTTCTTTTGAAACACCCTGTTGCTGTTCAATCCCTGTTGCGATACCGTGATACAACCCCAATCCATTCAGAGTGAAGTAATATTGAGTATCATCCAATCTGATGTTTATATTTTCATAGATTATTCGGCTAGTGCATAGTTTGAGTTCTGAGTTATTAAGTTAATGAAATCAATCCAGTTTAGGACACTTTCAGCAGCACTTTCATTTTCAACCAGTCGTGACTCGTGAATGAAATTTTGCTGTGTATGCTTTTAAAAAATACACTTGAAGAGTAACAGACATGCTCTCATTTTACACTTTATATGCTACTAGTTTAGCTTTATCTTAGAATAAGGTGGGCACCTCAAACATGTTTATTTTCCACACTTCAGACTTTGTTGCTGGATGTGGCTCATTTATAGCACCTTTCTGACAGTAATATGGGTAGAAACTTGAAATAATAAAGCACTGTAGTGGATGAGGTTTAATGTAGCCAAAAACAAATCCATTAAAATCTGTTCTGATCCTAAATGTACACTGTGGTTTCCCTCCTACTGCAAAGGTTGTACAAATTAAAAAGGTTCTGTTATAATAGTGATGATATGGATACAGATATATAGTCATATAGTCGAGGAAAACTACTGATATACTAACTGCTTAATTAATGTAACTTGACTGAAATCCATGTAGATAAAATGCTCAAAATGTTATCAAATGCAATGAGTAATAAAATCATTTAATGATGATTTTCTGGTGATTTCTGATCATTTAGAAATGTTATTGTATTGTAGTTAACCAGGCCTTGGTTCTGTTATCTAACTTTTTACTGTCTGCTCTTTGTATTCATACTGATCATAAACGAGACAAAACACATGGATCTGGGACTTTACTGTCTGCATACTTTCGGTTCAGTAAGAGGAAGCTTTGCTTGAGCTGAAGACAAGATGATTGAATGTTATGCAGTTACGTATAGAAGTAAAACTGTACGTATGTCTCAGCCTTTCTTGGAGTTCTTTTACCTTCACCATTCCCAAAAACACAGCTCAGTTTTCATTTCACACCTGCGAACACTTTGATACTTGTTACCATCACACACACACACACACACACACACACACACTGCTGTTTCCCATCTGCTGGCAACTCTCGAATAATAAATGTAGTGTAAACACAACAGTATGTTATCTGATGCTGTAATTAACACTGTAGCCAAAAACATGTCCAGCACTTTTAATTTCAGTTTGTGTCCCGTTATCTTTTTAAACGTAAAAATAAAGTGACTGATGTTTTTTATTTCTGTAAAAAAGTGAAGAGATCTGTACTTTAAGTTAAAATAGAATTATTAAAATTTGCATTTACATGATCACACAACAGTTAAAAAGTCTGTATCCATCTTTATTTTGGCCTGTCCCATCTCACTGACATTGACCTTCTCCTTGAAACTTCAGAGGATATATGAATGTGACTTCAACAAAAGGCTGGTCAAATTGCATATTGCTAAAAAAGAAACACCTGGTGGTTAATTGGCAACAGGTCAGTAACATGAATGGGTATAAAAGAGAGAGAGAGAGAGGCTGAGTCTTTCAGAAGTAAAGATGAGGAGGGGTTCACCACTCTGTGAAAGACTGAGTGAGCAAATAGTGCAACAATTCAAGAATAACGTTTCTCAACATAAAATATTAAAGAACTTGTGCTTTTCATCATCTACGGTACATAATAACATTAAAAGATTCAGAGAATCTGGAGAAATTTCTGTATGCAAGGGACAAGGCTAAAAACCAGTATTTGCTGTCCGTGATCTTTGGGCCCTCAGGAGGCACTGCATTAAAAACAGACATGATTCTGTAGTGTAAATCACTGCATGGGCTCAGAAACACTTCTGAAAACCACTGTCTGTGAACACAGTTTGTCACTACATCCACAAATGCAAGTTAAAACACTAAAACGCAAAGAAGAAACCAAATATAAACAGGATACAGAAATGCTGCCACCTTCTCTGGGCCTGAGCTCTTTTTGGAATACATGGATGCTGTGTCCTCCAGTCTAAAGACCACAGCTTGTTATCAGTGCACAGTTCAAAAGCCAGTATTCATGATGGTATAGGGGGGCATTAGTGCACATGGCATGGGTGACGTGCACATCTGTGAAGGCTCCATTATTGCTGATATATACATATATACATGTTTTGGCAACATATGCTGCCGTCCAGACAACGTCTTTTTCAGGGAAGGCCTTGATTATTTCAGCAAGACAGTGCCAAACCACATTCTGCATATATTACAACAGCATTGCTCCATATTAAACAAGCCTGGGCGCTAAACTGACCTGCCTGCAGTCCAGACCTGTCACCACTGAAAACATTTGGCACATTATGAAATGAAAAATACAACAAAGGATACCCTGAACTGTTGAGCACATTTCACTTTCAGAACTACAGCAGTGTCTCCTCAGTTCCCAAACACTTACAGAGTGTTGTTAAAAGAAGAGGTGATGAAACACAGTGGTAAATATGCCCCTGGCCCAACTTTTTTGGAACGTGTTGTTGGCATCAAATTCAAAATGGGTATATATTTTCTCAGTTTCAACATTTGATACGTTGTCTTTGTAGTATTTTCCATTAAAAATATGGTTGACGTGATTTGCACATCATTGCATTCTATTTTTATTTTCATTCCGCACATTATGCACAGTGTCCCAACTTTTTTGGAAATGGGGTTGTGCATTTTCTGTATATTGGATACAATACTAGACAGACACCAACGGCTGGAACCAAATTCCTTTTGTTGGCCAATAAATTTGATACCAATTCTGATATTCTCATAGCTTACATCTTTTTTCATAAAGGGCCTTCATGTCATGTGTATCTGAAGAAAGGAGAAGCTAAGACACATTAGCTTTTTTCCTAAACAAACTTTTAGATATTGGCACAAAATGTTATTCCAAGTAATTTTGGATTTTTATTGTACCATAAGTTTTCCCCGTGTCATTGTTGTTACTTGTAACTGTGTTCTTGTTCTTGTTTTTGGTCATCAGCTGACAGGACAGGAAGACAAACAGCAGTTTCTATCTTTGTTTGGACAATTCAAGCATAGCCAGTTTCTGTCTCTGATGCAAACAAACCTGTCGGAGCACATAGCACTGTTGCTGCATATTTTCTCGGGCGGTAAAACCTCCTAACCTGACTTCTGACTCTCATTTGGGATCAAGACGCTGAGAGACGGACATAGAGAGAGAAAGATCAAGTGAGCCTCACTGGAAAACCATCAGATTCTTTTATAGTCCTTTCGAAGCCATCAGCCGCCATGTCTTACACGGCTGGCTCTTACGCGGACAAGTCCTACGCGGGCCGCTCATATGCTGACAAGTCCTACATGGACAGTGCTTACACGGGTTACGATGACAAGACGGCCAAGACGCTGTTCGAGGAGCAGCTGCTGAAGGAGAAGAAGAAGCGGAAGGAGGCCATGCACTGCGAGGTCGTGGCTCTGGTCATCGCCTTCATTGGCCTGATTGGCGTTGCCGCCGTGACGGGTCTGCCCATGTGGAAGGTGACGGCCTTCATCCAGGAGAACATCATCGTCATGGAGACGCGCTGGGAGGGCCTGTGGATGAACTGCTACCGGCAGGCCAACATCCGGATGCAGTGCAAAGTGTATGATTCGCTGCTTTATCTGCCGTCGGACCTGCAGGCGGCTCGTGGTCTCATGTGCACCGCTGTGGCCCTCACGACCATCGGATTCATCGTAACGGCTGTAGGCATGCGTTGCACCAAGCTGGTCGACTCCCGTCCCCGCGTCAAACATATCGTCCTGGTGACCGGAGGGTGCCTCTTCCTGGCCGGGTGCCTAGCCACCATCATACCCGTCTCCTGGACGGCCAGCGTTATCATCCAGGACTTCTACAACCCCCTGCTGCTGGACGCCCAACGAAGAGAACTGGGCGAGGCACTCTACATAGGCTGGGTGACGAGTGCCCTGCTCTTCATCGCTGGGGTGATCCTGCTGTGTCGACATGCTCCCCGCACCCAGGAGAAGGAGGACATGAATATGGTGCTGTACAGGGCCGGATCTGCTCCCTACAACTACTCCTACCAGCCTGGATACCCTTACCAACCAGCCTACCAGCCAGCTTACGGCTACCAACCAGCCTACAGTGCTGTACCACCACCAGGGTCTGTAGCCTATAGCCGACCTGCATACTGATGAGGTCAGAGTGCAGGGATGGCCTCTGCCTCTCTTAGACTGATGCACTATGGACATCTCTTTCACAAATACAGGTTTCCTGCTCATGTTTTTAACCTTTTGATGGTTGTGATATCAATTCCATTAATTTATGTACACTACTCATGTGTCAGAAGTTTGGGGACACCTAGACTGAATCTCAAATGCCTCCCTCCTCCCTAAATAGTGCACTAACTTTGGTTTTTACACCCAAATAGTGCACTAAATGTTACATTGAGAGTCTTTCAGCCCATGGCTGAATCTCAAATGACATTCTAGTCAACATATGCCTTATTTTGGGTGTAGACGTTTTTGACCTACATAGTTTAGTAGGGAGCCATTCGAGATCCAACCCAACCCTTTCAAAATGTTTTTAATACATGTTTAAATGTGTGTGCCAATATGAGTGCCAATGCTGTCTTCGCTTTTAAAAACATGGTACCATATAGGGTTCTTTGAGTGATGCCATAGAAGAACCAAAAGATTTTCATCATATGAAGTTTTTGGGTCACTTTAAGAGGTCTTCCTAGAACCTTCAATATAGGTGGAGTTTATTTAAAAGGACCTTCACACCCACCTATCTCATTTACAAAAAGAAACTACCCACTGAAAGGTTTTGGGGAACCAAACATTGGCGATCATAACCCTTTCCGGCACCTATATTTGTAAGAATGTTGGAAATAATGCCAAAATTCAGGGGCTTTAAACCACCTTTGGGATAAAAGAGTTTCAATAGTTTGGATAAGAAAACTGAAAATCATTATTTGAACAAAATCTGCTTTTCATACTGAGGAAGATACTTTGAAGCTGAGATAATGAATAAAAGCATTAGAACAGAGCTACTAAACCTTTGTGGACGTTTTATTACTTGAAAGTAACAGTGAAACTCACACATTTTAAAAGAATATTAGGTCCCCAGACGTGATGGGCAGTGTTATCTGTGAATATGTTATACTTCTAATCTCTGACTCTTGAAGTTTGTTTTGTTTTGCTTCAAAATTCTCAATCTGAAATGGATGTTTTGAAAGGATCCGGTGTTCAAGGATAAAGGTTAAGAGCTGGTGCCTTCCGAGATGATATACAGCAAAGAAAATTCCATACGGACAATGAACAATGGAATCTTGCAGAACAACTCCTCAACTTTCATAGAGGACACCATGCCAAAACGGGCAAAAGTAATGTTATACTTTGAAATGTATAATCATGTTTTTTCAAGCACTGTTTCGACCAATTGTTTGTAATAAAAAAAATTAAAAGGAAAGGAAAAAAATTAACAAACATAAAGACTGAGATTAATGCTTGATGCTTGTTTAACCCACAGAGCACCTTCATTAGTCACACACATTCTCTTCTGGTGCTTAACCTGACTTTTTATCTGATCACATTCTGCAAGAGTCTGTATGGGGAAGGCTTGGCAGGGCTGGGGGAACCTGTCCGTGTGGTTTTTCTGAACAGGGAGACAGTGTGTTTGTCAGTGCTGGCAGCTCGAATGTTCCCGGATGCTGCAGACCTGTAGACACACCTGTAACTCAAACAGGACAGAGGACTAAAATCCTTACACACACTTATACACATACATATTCTCTGTTCTCTTCCTTGTAATCAACAGCTGTCAGAAATGGTTCTCAAAATGCACCATGTACAGACATTTAGAGGTTGATATTGTCTACCAAATGGTGCACACCTAACATAGATGGTTCATCAAGGATTCTTTAGAACCGTGAGTTCTATATAGAACCTTTTGCATGCTTTAATCGTTTTCTGCATGTTGAAATCTTGCAAAAAAATTCTTCAGATTGATGGAGAATGTGTTGTATATGGTCCTCTAGGTTCTTCTTTTGCTATAATGTCAAGCTTGTAACAATAGAAGAACCATTTCATCATGCAAAGAACCATTTAGGCATGAAATAGAACCATTTCCTTTACTAAAGAACTCTTGAATAACCATCTTTTTTAAGTGTGTAAATTAAAAGTTAAATTATTTCAAATTATTAGTTGGTCACCAAAGCTATTTTACTTCAAGTATGCGCCAGAAAAAGATACTGTCTTCGGCACTCTACCTAAGGAACTGGGTAAAACACATTATAATACAGTTACAGCTGCTATATTTGGTACATATGATCGTTAAAGGGATCTATTACTGATAACTTAAAGGAAATTCCTCATACTTACACGGTTAAGATGCTCCGTTCAAGATAAACTTACTGAGTCAGAATTGTTCACAGTGGTGGTGATAGGAACCAGACGTCCGCCTCTAAAAGCTCCCTCACAGAAAGTTACTACATGAAATGGTTATGAATTCACTGCCTGATGACTGAGACACTGTTTTACGATAGTTTTGAGAAGATTTTAATCTTATCGTTCATGGTGGAAGAATACATAATATGCAGGGTGTGATGAGGCAGAATAGTTCCGAAAGAAAATCTTCAGATGTTCCACTATTTTACCATCTTCTACATTCAAAACAAAAACTCAGAAGACTCATGCAGGTTCACTGGTGGTTTTGGATAGTAAATAAAATGTCTGTATTTGTGTCGTAGTCACAAATTACCACCACTGTGAAAGGCATCAATCATCAGTAATAATGCAGTAAAATCAATTCCCACTTAAAAAAACTGGATATTAAACCAATGCACACCAAAACTGCTAATATAATATATGCAAAAAAGACAGTTAGTGGGATGCCATTTGCATAGTGTCATATCTCAGAGTTTTAAAAGACGCCACTATTAACTGTGACATACCTAATTTGCATTTAGCTCATTTCCATGATTCATGAGACTAAAGTAAGGCGTATGTGTCCAGACAGACAGCATAATTTCACCTGAATATAGAAGACATCATGCAGATCAATTGCCAGTTATCTTTACAGACACTACAAATAAGTGACATAAGATTAAATGTGATTAGTACATCAGGCATGGTTGTCCCAAATAGCTTTCATTTATTGCTAGCGATGTACTGCTCTCATCAGGCGCTATGCCGCTGTTCCCTTAGGCATACCCAGCACTCCTGGCAACACAATCCTAAGAACTACACAGCATGTGTTCCAGCAAAGCCAGGATTAACCAGTAACCAGATCTCAAAACAACAGCTTTGATATTGCAGATTTAAAGGGTAATTCCACAGAATTGTCAGTGGTTGAGATATAAACAAAGTCATGCACAGTGGTTTGATGTGAAATGGTGCTTTGTAGACAAACTTACTGGCTCAGATTTCATTACAGTGGTGCTGATAGGAACCAAGAGTTGCCATATAGTCATCTTATTTACTATCCAGAACCAACAGTAAACCTACATGTGTCCTCTGAGTTTTATATGGAATAGTGATGATTGTAAAATAGTGGAAAATCTGAAAAAAAAATCAGCTTTCTTTGCTTTACAACAGCCTACATTTACCTCCTCCACCATGAATGGATTGTGTTTTAGGCCAAAAGCTGCTCAACACTATCATAAAACAATGTGTCAAACATTAAGCTCTGGTGTTTGATTCCGATCAGCACCACTGTGAACATTTCTATCTCTGTGAGTTTCTCTAGGTCTGAGTGTTTCACACCAAACCACTCTGAATGACTTCCGTGTACCTTCGTCATTCAAGTATGCAAAAAATTTGTTATTGCCAATGATAACTAAAAAAAGAGCCATTTCGGTTACTTTCCAGGTAAAACATTACTGAAGTTCATCATGTGCCATGTTACTGTTTGACTACAGCGTGCTTGAGGTCACTGTGTAGTTCGTGCAAATGAGAAAGCATCCAGTGGAGACTGGTGAGTAGAGAACGGCACTGTGTTTCTTCCTGCCCCTCCTCCTGCTGCTCTGCAGGCACAAACATTGCCACAGGAGGATACGATTTCATAGCAACCACCTCGAGATCCCACCCATCCTATTCTCCAGCTCAGAGACCAGGGGGAGGGAGCAGCAGGTGCATATGCTATCGACTGCTCATTCGCTGGGATGCAGAAAAGCTCCTCAGGTGGGCAGCATAGCAGCAGTCGACTCCTCTTGTCAGGTGAGTCGCCACCTCCTGTGGATCACTCTCACAAGAGACGTGGTCTAGAGGAGCTGTTTTGCTCCATGAAAGAGCTGATCTGCCTTTGTTCTTTGGGAAAACCGAAACCAAGAATTGATCTATGTTCAGGAATGAAGAGCTGATCTAATGAGAGGAACCAAGAGTAATCTAATGAGGCTTCAAACACCAAGAATTGATCTGACAAGACTTTAGGAACTTAAAATCAAGACTTGACAAAGAGTGATCTCACAAGGTTTCAAAAACCAAGAGTTGATTGGACAAGACTGGAAGAACCAAGAGTAACCTGACACGACTTCAGGAACCAAGAATTTATCTAGCAAGACTTCAAAAACCAAGAATTGATCTGAAGGGGCTTGAAGAACCAGGAGTAACCTAATAAGGCTTCAGGAACCAAGAGTGAGCTGACAAGGCTTCAGTGTTGCTGCTGAGTATCTTCCTTACAGTATCTCCCTCACAGCATCCAAGCAGACTAAACCAAGAAATGGCAAGTGGGGCGCTGGAGATTGCAGCGCTGTGCCTGACTCTACTTGGCCTGATTGGGGCAGCGGCCAGCACGGGGATGCCCATGTGGCGCGTTACAGCTTTCATTGGTGAGAATATCATCGTCATGGAGACACGCTATGAAGGCCTGTGGATGAACTGCTTCCGGCAGGCCAATATCCGGATGCAGTGTAAAGTGTACGACTCCCTACTGGCCCTGACACCGGACCTGCAGGCGGCCCGAGGCCTCATGTGCTGCTCGGTTGCCCTGTCTGCCATCGGCCTCCTTGTGGCCATCATGGGGATGAAATGTACCGCCTGTATCCGTGACAATGACCGGGCCAAGCGGATGGTACTGATTGTGGCTGGCAGCATGATCATCCTGGGCTCCCTTTGCTGCCTCATTCCTGTCTCCTGGACAGGCCATGTGATCATCCGCGACTTCTACAACCCTCTGCTGCTGGATGCCCAGCGCAGGGAGCTGGGAGAGGCTCTCTACATCGGCTGGGTGTCCTCTGCCCTTCTCTTTGTGGGCGGCTGCATATTCGCCTGCTGCCATGAGTCCATAGACAAGGAGCCCGACCGGAAACCCTACGGCTACGCCAGGAACGTTCCCTATGTGGCCTACGAGCCGCAACCCATGACCTTCCAACCCAGACCAGCTGCTGTGTCCTACGGCTACCCTTCCAGGGAGCCTTCCATCATCCAGACCTCCAGACAGCCCTCTATGATCCAGCCGTCCAGACAGCAGTCCTTTATCCAACCCTCCAGGCAGCAGTCCTTCATCCAACCCTCCAGGCAGCAGTCCTTCATCCAACCCTCCAGGCAGCAGTCCATCCGCAGTGCTGTCGCCTACCTATGAGTGCTAACACTGAGATGAAGCTTAAATGTGGATTGCACGTTAATGTTAGAAGGAGTCTCTAACAAGCCACTGTATATGCATATGTGTTTGTAGCTTGTGGAGAACACGCACTTCTGTTTACGACAGGTTGCTGAATTTGAGTGGACATTTCTCTGTTTCACTTCAGATAAACAATGATTTGGTGGGACCAACTTTTTATGACTAATGAACCGTCGATATTACTGAGATTACAAGTATAAATTATATACTTTCTGTATCTGTTGTCAGAACTGAGAAATTTCACTTAGTTATTTAGAAATTCTGCATAATTAAGTGGTTAAGATGTAAACAGAGTCGTTCAGAGTGGTTTGGTGTGAAATACTCTATTCTAGAAAAACGTATAGAGTCAGAATTGTTATGTTTGCATTGTATACCTCATGACCCCTGGTTCCTATCACCACCACTGTAAAGTGTCTCTACAATGAACCATTTCACCCCAAACCAATGATTGACATTATTGAATGTTAAGTTTGTCTTTGGTGTGTATATCACTTATGTGTCTATTTCAAAAGTCAACATGTTTCACTGTTTAAATATTTTCAAGATTGTTTTGGGCAGCATGTCGCTGCTGTAGGAACAAAACCTTGTATCTCCAAAATGGTAACTTTACAGGAGAAAGAAAAAAACATATTCTACTTTTAATGTAAGTCAGTGGAACCAGACATTTTCCAAGTAATTTTGTAAAGAGCAACAGGCATTTTTGCATTATGTCAAAAACTGAAAAACGACAAAAAATGAAGATACAAGGTTTTATTCTGACAGCAGTGATATTTTGTGATCAGAGGTATTTTTTCTTTATTAACATTGTCTTAGCACTGAATTCACTGTGATGTTGGACTATATGGTTGATAAACGTGTGATTTATACGAAACAGTGAAAGCTCTTTCCTTTGTGGGCGATGCATTCTTGAGGCGGGACTTTACTCGCTGAGGTCCGTTGCACTGAGTGTGAGCGTCTTGGTGATCTCTTTGCCCTCAGGCTCCAGCTTAGTCAAACAGCAGGTGAAACATAAAACAGTGTGCAGCTATTGTTTGAAATTCTTTAAGCTGACACACCCGCACATCCAAAGAAACCTGACAACATGCAACTACAATTGAACCAGAAAAAGAAGACAAACTGCTTACCTACCTTTACTGAAGGAGGCCTGTATAAATCCTTTAAAATGGTGGTTCTTTAGTAAAAAACAATGGTTAAAATGCTTCTACAAGTTTGGGCCATAAAATACCATGTTTATGTTTGTCCCCTGTAGAGGATGTGTTGACTTTTTTTGGATTTTGGAATTATTTAAACGTATTTTAATGTAATTTGACCAGGGGTGTTCAAACTTTTTCATACAGCTGCATATATCACTAAAACCTATGGCTGCACTTCATAGAACCTTTTTTTTGTACTATCTACTACTACCTCCACTAATCTAAAGGCCTTCAGATTGGTATAGAACCTTTAGGTGAACGTTCTTTAAACCTTTAAAAGGTTCTTCATACTCACAAACCTCATTTAAACACGGTTCTTTAAGGAATAAAAGTGGTTCTACTATGTCATTGTTTCAAATTTACTGGAAAGTTAACGTAGGAAGAGTTCTGAGGGTGAGAGATATATTTCTAAAATATATTTGTAGAATATTTGAAATTGGCCAAATAAACATTTGTCACTCAAATATATGCATAAACAGTCTGGACGGAAATATTAAAGATAAAAAACAAATGTTTGTAAAAAACAAATACAGTTTAACAAATGAATATTGGACAGTTTAATATTGAACGATATTCTAATATATCATTCATGTATTTAGATACAACTGTGAATATATTACACTGGGTGTCATGTTTTGTTCACTGCAAAATATGTCAATATATTTTTATATACTGTTTCCATATTGGAGGATATCCTACTGGATAGCGTGTTTATCCAGACTTCAATCAATCATTGGGGTCAGACTCTTACTGTGGTGGTTTCTGGATGGTGGTAATTAAGATTATAAACAGCATAGCATGTTTGTGGAGCTCTGAAGTAGAGTTAGGTTTGAAGTGTCCATCCAAATTTCCTGAAGTCGCCTTATTATAATTAGTGGACATGGAATAAGACAGCAACATTTGCTTGATTGACAGCTAAATTCGCTTCATATTGAGTAATGTGAACAGAAACTTTATGGTGAAACTACACCTGTGTAATAAGTCAGATATGGAAATTAGCAGTCACTGAATTTACATGTTTCTAAGACAAGGCAAATGAGGGAGCGTTGTGTATGACAGGACTGAGAGTCTCACAGCTATTTATATTACCAGTGTCTCTAATGAAATTGCTCTTTAGAAGTTTTATATATCATTAAATACATAAAAACTGTCAGGTGTGATCAGATCATCGTCTGTGTGTGCAGTGTTTCCACAAAACCACATTAGTTACAGTAAACCACATCACAAACACAGTTTTAGAATGGTTTAACCATATTTAGTTAAAAGACAGTTCATGGTTTCAGTGGGAAATTATTCATCAAAAAATGTAACATTTCTCGTGGTGTCCCACAGGGTTTAGTTCTAGGGCCTTTGCTTTTTTTTCTTTGTACATGTGACCTCTAGGTGATGTCATTAGGAAACTAGGAAATTTTAATGGCTATGCTGATGAAACCCAATTATACCATTCCTTCTGATGATCAAGACAGGCTTACCAGCTGTGCTGGTAGCTCAGCTCTTTAGCTTCATGTACCAAACCTGAAGTACTAAACCTGGGTGTGATCTTAGACTCTGAGCTCTGTATTATCCTGCATGTAAACACAGTCACTAAAGTAGCTTTTTATCATTTGAGAAAATCACTAAAGTTCAGCCTTTTCTCTCTCAGGGCAACGCAGAGAAACTCGTTAATGCATTTGACACAAGCAGAGTTGATTAATATAAAGCTCTTCTTACTGGACTTCCTAAGAAACCAGTACATCCTTTACAGCTCATACAAAATGTGGCAGCACAAATCCTTACAAAAACAAAGAAGAGAGATCACATCACTCCTGTTCTAAAGGAACTACACTGGATTCCTGTATCGTACAGGATATATTTTAAAGTTCTGCTTCTAGTTTTTAAAGCTCTAAATGACCTTAAGGCACCACTTAAATCACTGTCTGTCTGTTTATGATCTTTGATCTGCAGATACTGACCTTCTACAAACACCTTATGTAACATACAGAAAACACAGAGAGACTCGTTCAGTTATTCTGCTTCTAAACTGTGGAGCTCATTTCACCTTTTATCAGACAGTCAAGCTCAGAGCTCACTTTTAATAAACATCTAAAAATGTGTCTCTGTACCTCAGTGTTTAATTAAAACTCCATGTTTATTTGGTGTCTATCTTTTTAATTTAATCATTTTCTTACATGATTTTAAATTAATACTTATAATTTCTCTTATTAGTATTAAGCTTTATGACCTGTCTGTTAAGCACTTTGAGCTACCACCGGCATGAAATGTTATTATTATTATTATTATTATTATTATTATTATTATCAATGTAACACTGTTTGAGCTGCTGCGACAATAGCCGCAGTGGTGTTTACTAATCTGAGAGATATCCAAGTAAACTTGGTAGATCCACAAAAGTGGTATCTTGTTTCAAACAGCAGTGTTGAAGGGACGTGACTAAACAGTTTTGGGCCATGCCTCCATGCTAACAAAGACCTTCCCCCTAGTGGTGGGTTCTGGTACTGCTAGTGCAGCTTGAGCTGGAAGAGAAGCACTGAGTTTACAATTTAAAAGATGCAGAAATAATGTAGATAAATATGGAGAGAGTGAGTAAGGGTTTGTGTTCACATGTTTGTAAGAAAGTGATGCTTACAGCCATAGCCCACATGAGAAGGGCACAACAAACACAGCCTCAGCAGAAGCCCTCATCCTCCTGAACCAACCCAAAAAGAGCAGATCACTTCCCATAACAGAGAAGGGACGAAGAGTCAGCACCCTTTCTACCATTTCGCATTCTGCCCCCACACAGACGTCCAGGATCCTCTCTCGTGCGCTCTTGTGAAGATTTTGAAAGGATGGCAACATCTTTAACTTTTGGATTATACATACCATAAACTACATTCAACCCACCCTCTCTGGACCTGGTGTTCTGGATGTTCATGTTTAGTTTCCAGCTGGAAGGGGCTTTAACTTTCTAGGGTGAGTGACGTCTCGTCAGCCTTCACCCAGGAGCCTGAGCTGATAATCAGAAGGGTTTTGGCTTCAGTCTGCTGCAATTCCTCTTGTGACTGTCACAGGGCTAACTTGTTACTTTCTCTACTACCACTGGGATAAATAGTTACTATCTTCCCCACCACTGGGATAACTAGTGACTATCTTCCCAACCACTGGGATAAACAGTTACTACCTTTCCTACCACTGGGATAACTAGTTTCTGTATTTCCTTCGACTTGGGGAGCTGGTTACTATCTGCCCTGCAACTTGTATAACTAGTTACCATTTGTCCTGCCACTGAGATAACTCGTTACTATCTGTCCTGTCACTGGGATAACACATTACCATCTGTCCTGCAACTAGTTACTGCCTGTCCTGCCACTGGAATAACTAGTTACCCTCTTTCCTGCCACTCGGATAACTAATTACTGTCTGTCCTGCTTCTGAGATAACTAGTTACTGTCTGTCCTGCAATTGGGATAACTAGTTACCCTCTTTCCTGCCACTTGGATAACTAATTACTGTCTGTGCTGCTTCTGGGATAAATAATTACTGTCTGTACTCCAATTGGGATAACTAATTACTCTCCGTTCTGCCACTGGGATAACTAGTTATTGTCTGACCTGCCACTGGGAAAGCTAGTTACTCTCTGTCTTGCCACTGGGATAACTAGTTACTGTCTGACCTGCCACTGGGATAACTAGTTACTCTCTGTCCTGCCACTGGGATAGCTAGTTACTCTCTGTCCTGCCACTGGGATAGCTAGTTACTGTCTGTGCTGAAACTGAGATAACTAGTTACTCTCTGTCCTGCCACTGGGATAACTGCAACTGGGAGAAATAGTTGCTATCTCACTTGTCACTGTGATAACCACTTACCATCTGTCCTGCTGCTGATATAATTGAAACTGGCATAACTAGTTACTATTTGTCCTGTGCATGGGATAACTGCAACTAGGATTACTATTTCATATCCCTTCTGCCACTGGGATAAATATTTACTAGAGCAGCTATTTAACTACCATTCTTACTGGGCTGCACTGCCACTGGAATAACTCTCTACTGGACGGTGACCTTTCTCAGAATTTGTGCCGCACTGCTCAGACTTTCTGTGTGTGAGTATTTGTATATGAACAATGGTTGCCGCGTGTGAGCTCATCGCTCTTTGCCTGGGCATCATCGGACTGGTGGGCACCTCCGCAACCACAGGCCCCCATGTGGAAGGTGACAGCCTTTATCCAGGAGAACATTATCACTATGGAGACACGCTGGGAGGGTCTGTGGATGAACTGTTACCGGCAGGCCAACATCCGGATGCAGTGTAAAGTGTATGACTCCCTGCTGTACCTGCCTCCAGAGCTCCAGGCAGCCAGAGGCCTTATGTGTTGTGCCGTGGCTTTGAGTTTTCTAGGCTTGCTAGTGGCCCTCCCAGGCCTCGAGAGCACAGCCTGCCTTCAGGATCAACCGCGCATCAAGGCCCTAATTATCATAATTGCCGGGGCAATGCAGGTCATGGCTGCCCTCTGCGTGATCATCCCTGTCTCCTGGACGGCCCATGTCATCATCCAGGACTTCTACAACCCGCTGTTGCTGGACGCCCAGCGCAGGGAACTGGGTGAGGCACTCTACATCGGCTGGGTCACGGCAGCCTTCCTCCTTGCCTCTGGTGTCGTCTTCCTTGTCTGCCGATCTGCTTCGGAATCTGACATGTCCCAGTTTTATCGGCCCGTTTACACGACCAACAGCTCGACTTTGTCCCGTGTGCATCCCTTCATGCCCACTCCGAGTCCACTCAGCTCCATGCCCCAGCAGCCACTCGTGCCCAATCACAACCTGTACCCTCAGCAGTCCATATCGTCAACCTACAGCCCTGTAGCAGTGACCCCTGTTGGCCAGCCTGTGCTTTACAACGGCCAACATGTACCTCCTAGTGTTCCTGTGGTGTACAACGCCAATATAGTGCCCAACCGTCAGACCCACCTGTCCGCACGTGGCTCGGGGAGACTCTCCACACCCAGAAACTCCACTCAACCCAGTGTGCTGTCTGCACCCCCTCCTCCCCCACACAACGACATACCACTCACCCAACACACGCCTGTTCTGTATGGATATGGCTACTCCAGAGACGGGCTGCACAGCCCAGTGTCCCACGCCAACTCTGGAATGTACATATGAGGACATTTTTACCACACAGTCTTTAAACCCTCTATCTCTCTGAATATAAACAGCTCTGAATAACATTTCTTCATTTTTTTTTTTTTCAATTTTCAGGCCTTATTACAAAGCAGGGCTAATTATTTTGTATCAAATGCAGTGGTGGCGATAGGAACCAGACGTCCTCCTCTAAAATCTCCCTCACAGAAAGTTACTACATGAAATGGTTATGAATTCACTGCCTGATGACTGAGACACTGTTTTATGATAGTTTAGAGAAGATTTTGGCCTTAAACTCCATTCATGGTGGAGGGATACATAATATGCAGGGTGCTGTGAGACAAAGTAGTCCCCAAAGAAAACTTATTATTTCAGATTTTCCACTATTTTCCATCATCAACACTCCGTATAAACTCAGAAGACTCGTGTAGGTTCACTGGTGGTTCTGGATAGTAAATAAAATGTCTATATTTGTGTTGTAGTCATGGCGACCCCTGGTTCCTATCACCACCACTGTAAAGACATCTGAACCATTTCACACCAAACAACTTTCAGTGAGTTTTCCTCGAAATATTGGAAGAGCAGAATCGAATCTGCCCGTACAGAATTACATAATTACATGTAATTATATGATGTAAAGGAACACACACATATAAAAATGACATGCATAAATACACATAACATTCATGTAAGGGTGTGTTTTTAGTAAAATAGTTCTCATTTTTATTTTCTGTGTGGTGTAGATGTCTGATGTGATCATGTTTATGTGTTGGCTTGTTTTTGTAGTTTAAAGTTAAATGAAACTAAACTTTTCCTTAGTCTTCCAGTCAGCACACATATGATGTTACTTAGAAATGAACAAAGATATTGTTCCTTTAATAGGTTTTGAAAATTCATAACAGCTGGAGTATGACATGTTGTAGAATGATTTGAATTTAATGTTTATGGAGATATTCTAATAAACTTTTATGCTAAAACTGAGGACCATGTTTAATTTTAGTCTCTGGCACAGATAGTCAGTGTACTGTACACACTGAGCCAGGGAGACGCAGTGTTTCCAGCACTGTGCTTTATGGTAAATACCAGTTTCTGGGAAACGTGACTCTCTTTCCTGTTTAGAGCTGATGGTATCGACACTGGATCCTCAGTGTTTTTGGAGAGCTGGTTTCCTCATAGCAGGCCGTCCTTCACCCCTGCAACCCGGAACAAGACCACGATAACAACACTGCAGTTAGACGGGGACTGTTTACCTTCTACTGTTAATTCATAACTTCCCTTCTATCTGTCTGTCTGTCTGTTCGTCCATCTATCCGTCCGTCCGTCCGTCCGTCCGTCTATCTATCTATCTATCTATCTATCTATCTATCTATCTGTCTGTCTGTCTATCTTTCTGTCTGTCTGTCTATCTATCTATCTATCTATCTATCTGTCTATCTGTCTATCTTTTTTCCTTTCTTTCTTTCTTTCTTTCTTTCTTTCTGTCTATCTATCTGTCTGTCTATCTTTCTGTCTGTCTGTCTATCTCTCTGTCTGTCTGTCTGTCTATCTTTCTTTCTGTCTGTTTGTCTATCTATCTATCTATTTATCTATCTATCTATCTATCTATCTATCTATCTATCTATCTATCTATCTATCTGTCTGTTCTGTCTATCTTTTTTCTTTCTCTCTTTCTTTCTTTCTATCTTTTTCCTTTCTTTCTTTCTATCTGTCTGTCTGTCTATCTATCTGTCTGTCTATCTTTCTGTCTGTCTGTCTGTCTATCTTTCTTTCTTTCTGTCCATCTGTGTATCTTTCTTTCTGTCTGTCTGTCTGTCTGTCTGTCTGTCTGTTTGTCTGTCTGTCTATCTATCTAATGTCCCCTTTAAAACTCTCCACAGTGCTGATCTCTTTATTAGCTGACCTGTACAGGTTATTAATATCTAGTCCAGTATGACTGACCTGTTCAGCTCCCTTTATAACTGTGATTTCTTCAAAGTCATTTTTCATGTAGTGTTTCTGTCATTTTGGCCAGCACCTGTACATTAATGACAGAAAGGACTTTTTCCTTTTTTTCCTTGACCAGTAGAGGGCGCCAGATCTTTACTTCATCAGTAACCTGTAAAGGGAAGTTGCTCAGCTGTAACTTTAAAGTCATTCTGTGAAACCAACATCAGCACAAACACTAATTTAACCCATTAATATTAGAGTAAATGGACCAGCAGGGCAAATCTATAACCCTGTAATACAGCAGATTATATTCATACCGCCCTGTCAGAGTAACCTGCGCTTACACAGCGCAGGCATACAGTATTACTGTAAATGTGTTATGGTTTATAAAGCGTTCATTTTAATCCACTGCTGTTTCACGCAGAGCTGATTCACAGGTCTGAGTGGACACAGATCAGTGTATGAAATGTTAACTTTAGTGTTTCATGCAGTGGTTTGGCAGTATTCGGCAGAAGGCCGTGTAAAATCTGGCATACATTGATTTTTTTGAGAAGTTGATATTTTAAAAGTAGGTTAAACTCACTCACACACACACACACACACACACACACACACACACACACACTCTCTCTCTCTCTATCTGTATCTCTCTTTCTCTTTCTCTGTTATCGCTCTCTCTCTCTCTCTCTCTCTCTCACACACACACACTCTCTCTCTGTTATCTCTCTCTCTCTCACTCTCTCTGTTATCTCTCTCTGTCTCTCTCTCTCTCACACACACACTCTCTCTGTATCTCTCTTTCTCTTTGTCTGTTATATCTCTCTCTGTCTCTCACTCTCTCACTCTCTCTGTTATCTCTCTCTCTCTGTTATCTCTCTCTGTCTATCTCTGTTATCTCTCTCTTTGTCTCTCTCTGTCTCTCTCTCTCACTCTCTGTTGTCTCTCTCTCTCTCTGTCTCTCTCTCACACTCTCTCTGTTATCTCTCTCTCTGTTATCTCTCTCTCTTTCTCTCTTACTGCTCTCTATCTCTCTCATTCTCTGTTATCTCTCTCTCTCTGTTATCTCTCTCTCTCTGTCTATCTCTGTTATCTCTCTCTTTGTCTCTGTCTCTCTCTCTCACTCTCTGTTATCTCTCTTTCTCTGTTATCTCTCTCTCTGTTATCTCTCTATCTCTTTCTCTTTCTTTTACTGCTCTCTATCTCTCTCTCTCTCACTCTCTGTTATCTCTCTCTGTTATCTCTCTCTCACTCTCTCTCTCTCTGTAATTTCTCTCTCTCTCTGTTATCTCTCTCTTTCTCTGTGTTATCGCTCTCTCTCTCTCTCTCTCTCTCTCTCTCTCTCTCTCTCTCTCTCTCTCTCTCTGTTATCTCTCTCTCTCTCTCTCTCTCTCTCTCTCTAATCGTCAGTAGATTAAGATCTTCTATCTCCTGCTTTAATCATTTCCTCGTGTACTGGAGTCGCCGCGCGCCTCGGCCGCCAGATTTGCCGTTAATCTCGCGCGCTGGTCTGTGTTGGTGTGTGTGTGTGTGAGGATCAAGTGGAGCGAGCCCTCGTTACCTGGTTCAGCGCGCGCGCACTGAGCGGAGCGGAGAGGAAATGTCCGGGACCCCGCGCGCTAGGCGGGCATGAGCCGCGCGGAGACGGAGGGCAGCGCGTGCGGGAGCGAGGAGGACGCAGGGCTGCTGGAGCGGAGACGCGCGAGCACGTGCGCGCCGCAGCGATGATGAGGGACGGGCGCGAGCTCCGGGACGCTGAAGGGGAAACGGGACCGCAGTGAAGCGCCATGGCCAAGATCATCATCCCCCTACTGTGGCTCGTGACGGAGCTCCGCGCGAGCGCCCAGCAGGTCCTGCGCATCGGTACGTACTGACCACAGTCCACTCTGACCACTAATGCATTACTGCAGTCTGGAACTGACCAGTGCAGTTTAAACAGGCCACCGAATAAAACTACACAGAAGAACAGAAAACACATTTTTAGACTTAAAGCTGAAAGTTTTTTATTGTTTACTAACATTTACATCCATCAGCTCAGCTGGTGTGGACGGTGGTCTCACACAGCACAGCCCACAGTGATAAATTAAAGCTTTGAGTGCTGAATGAACACCTACAACAACTAGCAGTGTTGAATACACTCTTAGTGTAGAATAAACACCTGAAGTGCTCAGAACTCTTAAACTGTTTCAATTGTGTGCAACTATATTGAATTCAACACTGTGTGTTAAAAATGCACACATAAAGCAGTGTAGGTGGTCATTTGGCGCTGTAAGACAGTATTTAACACTGTAAGAGTGTATTCAGCACTGTAAGAATGTACCTAACACTGTAGGTGTTCAGTTAGCACTGTAGGAGTGTATTTAACACCGTACGTGGTCTTTCAGCACTGTAAGAGTGTATTTAACACTGTAGGTGGTCTTTCAGCACTGTAAGAGTGTATTTAACACTGCAGGTGTTCATTCAGCACTGTAAGAGTGTATTTAACACTGTAGGTGGTCTTTCAGCACTGTAAGAGTGTATTTAACACTGCAGGTGTTCATTCAGCGCTGTAAGAGTGTATTTAACACTGTAGGTGGTCTTTCAGCACTGTAAGAGTGTATTTAACACTGTAGGTGGTCTTTCAGCACTGTAAGAGTGTACTTTGTTTTGTAGGTGATCTTTCAGCACTGTAAGAGTGTAATTAGTGTTGTAGGTGCTCATTCAGCAACATAAGAGTGTTTTTAACACTGTAAGAGTTCATTTAGGACTGTAGCTTACCATTCTGCACTGTGAGAGTGTATTTAACACTGTAAAAGTGTACGTAACACTGTAGGTGATCATTCCGTGCTGTAAGAATTTACTTAACATTGAAAAAGTGTATTTAACACTGCAGGTGATCATTTGGCACCGTAATAGTGTATTCAGAGATGTAGGTGCTCATTCAGGACTGTATGAGTGTATTTAACACTGTAGGTGTTCGTTCAGCACTGTAGGAGTGTACTTAACACGGTAGGTCTTGATTTAGCACTGTAAGAAGTGTATTTAACACTGCAGATGTTCATTCAGGACTGTAAGAGTGTACTTAACACTGTACATGTTTATTCAGCACTGCTAGAGTGTGCTTAACACTGTAGGTGTTTATTCAGCACTGTAGGCGTTTATTCAGCACTGCAAGAGTGTGCTTAACACTGTAGGTGTTTATTCAGCACTGTAGGTGTTTATTCAGCACTGGAAGAGTGTGATTAACACTGTAGGTGTTTATTCAGCACTGGAAGAGTGTGATTAACACTGTAGGTGTTTATTCAGCACTGTAGGTGTTTATTCAGCACTGGAAGAGTGTGATTAACACTGTAGGTGTTTATTCAGCACTGGAAGAGTGTGATTAACACTGTAGGTGTTTATTCAGCACTGCAAGAGTGTACTAAACACTGTAGGTGTTTATTCAGCACTGTAGGTGTTTGTTCAGCACTACAAGCATGTACTTTACACTGTAGTTGTTTCTTCAGCACTGTAGGTGTTTATTCAGCAGCGTAAGAGTGTACTTAACAGTGTAAGATTGTATTTAACACTGTAGGTGTTCATTTAGCACTTGTGAACTGTTTAAGTGAACTTAACACTGTAGTTGTTTATTCATCACTGTAAGGCTATATTTAGCGCTGTAGGTACTCATTCTGCACTATAAGAGTGTATTCATCACAGTTAGACTGTAGCGCTGTAGCAGTGTTGTAGTGAAGCAAGTGGTCTCAGCCTTGTCTCATTCTTGACCTCATTTGGTCTGGTCTCAGCCTTGGGGTCAGGTGGACTCGGAAATTGTTGTCAAGACCAGCTGAGTGCAGTGCTTCCATCTGGGGTAACTGGAAGCTTAATCATTACTGAATATCAACAAAACCACAATAAATAGAATAAAACCGTCATGTTGCTGCATGAGGAGTTCCCGAACTTTTGTAATTCCATTTAACACTTTAGGAGTGTGTTTAATGCCGTAGGTATTCATTCATGACTGGAAGACTGTATTTACTGCTGTAGGTGTTTATTCATCACTGTAAGTCTGTGTTTAACACTGTAGGTATACATTCAGCACTGTAAGAGTGAATTTTAACACTGTAGGTATTCATTCAGCACTGGAAAAGTGTAATCAGCACTGTAAGACTGTGTTTAACACTGTAGGTATTCATTCAGCACTGTAAAATTGTATGTAACTCTGTAGGTATTCATTCAGCACTGGAACAGTGTATTTAACACTGTAGGTGTTTATTCAGCACTGTAAGAGAGAATTTTAACACTGTAGGTATTCATTCAGCACTGTAAAATTGTATGTAACTCTGTAGGTATTCATTCAGCACTGTAACAGTGTATTTAACACTGTAGGTGTTTATTTAGCACTGTAAGAGTGTATTCAGTACTGTAAGAGTGCATTCATCATAGTAATGCTGTATTTAGCACTGTAAGTGATCATTCAGCACTGTAAGAGTGTATTTAACACTGTTAGGGTTTATTTAGCACAGTAAGATATAAGCATCAAGCATAAAATCAGCACTGTAAGCCTGTTTTTAAGAGTAAGAGTGTGTTTAACAGTGTAGGTGTTCAGTCAGCACTGCAAGCATGAATTCAGCACTGTGAGCATGGGTTCAGTACTGCGAGAGTGTTTTCAGGACTGTAAGGCTGTGTTCAGTGTATTCAGTACTGTAAGGGTGTATTTAACACTGTAAGGGTGTATTCAGCACTCTAACGCTGTATTCTGTGTATTCAGTACTGTAAGGGTGTATTTAACACTGTAAGGGTGTATTCAGCACTCTAACGCTGTATTCAGTGTATTCGGTACTGTAAGGGTGTATTTAACATTGTAAGGGTGTATTCAGCACTCTAAGGCTGTGTTCAGTATATTCGGTACTGTAAGGGTGTATTTAACGCTGTAAGTGTGTATTCAGCACTCTAAGGCTGTGTTCAGTATATTCAGTACTGTAAGGGTGTATTTAACGCTGTAAGTGTGTATTCAGCACTCTAAGGCTGTGTTCAGTATATTCGGTACTGTAAGGGCGTATTTAACACTGTAAGGGTGTATTCAGCACTCTAAGGCTGTGTTCAGTGTATTCGGTACTGTAAGGGTGTATTTAACACTGTAAGGGTGTATTCAGCACTCTAACGCTGTATTCAGTGTATTCGGTACTGTAAGGGTGTATTTAACATTGTAAGGGTGTATTCAGCACTCTAAGGCTGTGTTCAGTATATTCGGTACTGTAAGGGTGTATTTAACGCTGTAAGTGTGTATTCAGCACTCTAAGGCTGTGTTCAGTATATTCGGTACTGTAAGGGTGTATTTAACACTGTAAGTGTGTATTCAGCACTCTAAGGCTGTATTCAGTATATTCGGTACTGTAAGGGCGTATTTAATACTGTAGGTGTTCATTCAGCACTGCAAGCATGAATTCAGCACTGTAAGCATGGGTTCAGTACTGCGAGAGTGTTTTCAGGACTCTAAAGCTGTGTTCAGTGTATTCGGTACTGTAAGGGTGTATTTAACACTGTAAGGGTGTATTCAGCACTCCAAGGCTGTATTCAGTGTATTTGGTACTGTAAGGGTGTATTCAGCACTCTAAGGCTGTATTCTGTGTATTCAGTACTGTAAGGGTGTATTCAGCACTCTAAGGCTGTGTTCAGTGTATTTGGTACTGTAAGGGTGTATTCAGCACTCTAAGGCTGTATTCTGTGTATTCAGTACTGTAAGGGTGTATTCAGCGCTCCAAGGCTGTATTCAGTGTATTTGGTACTGTAAGGGTGTATTCAGCACTCTAAGGCTGTATTCTGTGTATTCAGTACTGTAAGGGTGTATTCAGCACTCTAAGGCTGTATTCAGTGTATTTGGTACTGTAAGGGTGTATTCAGCACTCTAAGGCTGTATTCTGTGTATTCAGTACTGTAAGGGTGTATTCAGCACTCTAAGGCTGTATTCAGTGTATTTGGTACTGTAAGGGTGTATTCAGCACTCTAAGGCTGTATTCTGTGTATTCGGTACTGTAAGGGTGTATTCAGCACTCTAACGCTGTATTCAGTGTATTCGGTACTGTAAGGGTGTATTCAGCACTCTAAGGCTGTATTCTGTGTATTTGGTACTGTAAGGGTGTATTCAGCACTCTAAGGCTGTGTTCAGTGTATTTGGTACTGTAAGGGTGTATTCAGCACTCTAAGGCTGTATTCTGTGTATTCAGTACTGTAAGGGTGTATTCAGCACTCTAAGGCTGTATTCTGTGTATTCGGTACTGTAAGGGTGTATTCAGCACTCTAAGGCTGTATTCAGTGTATTCGGTACTGTAAGGGTGTATTCAGCACTCTAAGGCTGTATTCAGTGTATTCGGTACTGTAAGGGTGTATTTAGCACTCTAAGGCTGTATTCTGTGTATTCAGTACTGTAAGGGTGTATTTAGCACTCTAAGGCTGTATTCTGTGTAGTCAGTACTGTAAGGGTATTTTTAACACTGTAAGGGTGTATTCAGCACTCTAAGGCTGTATTCAGTGTATTTGGTACTGTAAGGCTGTATTCAGCACTCTAAGGCTGTATTCTGTGTATTCAGTACTGTAAGGGTGTATTCAGCACTCTAAGGCTGTGTTCAGTGTATTCAGCATTGTAAGCATGAATTCATGACACTCAGATGTGCCTCTTAAAATCTCAGGCTTATTACACACTAAGGCTTATTATTCAGTATCTACAGGGACTTCAGTGTAAACTGGCTGAGCTACTCTCAGGTAATAGAAGTGTGTGATATAACTTTGGGCGGGATCTGGTTATTTCAGGGGTTAAACTGTAGAAATGTCACCGTAACAGGTTTCATAATCTGGACCCAGATGTGGGTCCTCGGTGTGTCTGCGCGAGTGCAGATTTGATGTAA